AACTTTGTATGGTAGATAGAACTAATTTGGTAGAAGTGCAGTACAAAATGACGTAACTCTGCCTTGCCGAATTTTGGAGTTATTGCCCGTTGTTCAATTTGCCACTGTGATCTTTGTCCGGGTCATAACACTTTAACTCGGACAAAGATCACAGTGGCAAATTGAACATAACTCTTTTTACTACCGACTCCGTGGTCGAAGAGTTTGAGTCGATGACCTCTAATCCAGTTACCTCTCTGGCGTGGGTTCGATTCCCGGGAGATGCTTTTGTAGTTTAGCGCGGAGGAAGGTAGTCTAGTACTGATGTAACTCTCCAGGAACGATGGTTAGGAAACCTCCCGCCTATATGACTGAAATACTGTAAGGAAGAGGCGTAAAATGAAACAAACAACAAACAAACAAACAAAACTCTTTAACTATAACAGATATAACAAGAAACTTTGTAGGTATATAGATCTCACTGGGTAGATGTGCAGTGCAAAAAAAATCGTAACTTTGCCTAGCCTAATGTAATAGTTAAAGTATATGAAACGAATTAGTTACGAGGATATAACACTGACTGGGGTGACATCAAGGGAGGTTTCTGCTAAAAAAAATGGCGAGGCCGTCCGGCCGAGACAATCTTTTGCAGAAACATCCCGAGATGCCGCCAAGCCAGTGTTATATCCCCGTAACAAACGAGTTTTATATACTATAACTGTTTTATCGCAATGTCATAATGTTGTTTTTTTCGTTGTTGTTGTTTTTTGTAACAGAAATCAGGGAAATAAATAAAACGTAAGCTACCTCACAGCTATTTATTATAAGGCGGTTGTTTTCGCTGCCGCAAAAAAAAAAAACACAAAAAAAACCAAAAAAAACAAATATACAACCCTTGAAAACTTAAAGACATCCAATGTTAGAGACAGATTGTAAGGAGTAATTTTGATTCAAGATTTAAGGGCTTTTTTCAGTGGAAATAATTTATTTGGCGGATGTACATTTTGATTATATTAGAATAAATTTTATTTCATTAATTATCTTTGTTTATATTAATTTTTTTATTTATTTATTTATTATTATAATTATGATTATTATTTATTATTATTATTTTTATTATTATTATTATTATTATTGCCTCCGGGAATGTTCCATTGGAACTACACAGATATATACAAGGTGCAAAGAAAAACACAACTGCTATATAGCAGTTGAGGTTTTTTCCTATATGAATCAATGAAAAAACTGCCATATATATCATAAAGTTTTCAAATGCTCATTGAGAGTGTACTGAGTTAAAGTGGGTTAGAAAGAACAAACGTTCGAAACCATGCGATTGTCAGAATAATCGTACAGTTTCACTGTAGATATTTTTGGTTCTAGTATCTATTGCTAAATCTTTCCTTAGATTAAATATCATCAATCAGTCATTCTCCTGACACTATAACTTTGAGTTATTGCCCTTTGTTCACTTTTACACTTTGAACTTTGTTCGGGACATACTCTGAAGAGCTATCGACTTTGTAGATAGATATATCTCATTGAGTATATAGATGTGCTTTGCAAAGGAAACGTTACTATTCCTTGGCTAATTTATTGCCCTTTGCACACTTTTACACTGTGAACTTTGTCCGGAACATAACTCTGAATCTACAAGAGATATATCTTTCTATTATTTTTTCTGTATTTTGAATGTGTTATCCCATGCACTCTTTGACCCTTTGCCCCCGTGAACCTCCGTAAAAACCTAGTTTTAGCAGGTGTAAAAAAAACTCAACTGTTATATATCAATCGAGTTTTTACCTATATGAATCAAGTGATAAGAAATGTACTGTTATATATCAATACAGTTTCCAAATCCTAAATGGAAGTGATGCGATAAACGTTTATTTTACATGGACTTTACTGCAGAGTAAACCAAATATTTATACTTCTATTACAGAAGCTCTGTTAGTAAAAAATGATGTTTGCAGGTATTCGATGGATGAATAGGCATTCACAATAGATCAATGCACATATTGGTTTGAATACGAATTTAGATTCCCTATATCATTGCTGGCATAGACACGGTGTTTAGATAACAAAAAAGTACGTGAAGACGGAAAAAAATCTAGTTTAAGCGATCCTGTTTATAACCGTTAAATATTTCGCATTTACGCCTGCTTTCAGATCCTCCTAAGAAATATGCAAGTTATTTTTATATATATTTACATCGCTATCTTAGTTTATAAATACAAATTTATTTTAGTTTGGTTGTTTTTGGAAGCTAAAGCTTACTGACACACTTTCAAATCCGTTCCTGGAACCAACAAGTAGCAAGCAATAAATGTAAAGTTTCATGCTTACGGAAACAACGACTAACGGGGTTTGAACATGCTAGTTCGACGCGTCAATATCTTGACATCGCCGCAAATCAAATGGTATTTTAAGAAAAACTGTTGTTTTCATCGGCAGAAACATTTTCATTTTTCATGTTGACCGTAATTAAAGGACTGTAAGGAAAAATAGATACCTTTTGATATAGTCAGTATCAAATAATAATAACACTTTGAAAAATGACAAGCCAGACAAGTCAATTTAGTTGAATAATTTTTTGTTAGGATTTTAAAAAGTCGGTTCACATCTCCATAGGATATTTACAAACTACAATGGACGTACAGAATCCAGACCCTTCGTCTTCGATAATTTGTGTACGGTGCTGGTAATCGACACTACCCAGTCCATGTGTACCATTCCAAGTACAAACTAGCAACCAGGACACCAAAAGACCTTTTGTAATCTATCCGCGGAACGAACTCATGTGAAATAAGACTAAGCTGTTGTGAACATAGTCTGAATCCTGCTTTTTCCTCCGTGGTTTCCAGAGACTTTAGACTTGAAACGTACAAGGCATTCAACACTATGTGTGTAAGTTATAGGAGTGAAAACTTTATCAAAGATGTGTATTTTTCACTATTAATTTATATGCAAATTGGCAATTGCTTGAACGAAACAACTGTATAGATATTTTTCATCTAAGAATTGACCATCATCGTAAAACGCCATAGACGGGACCTTTGTTTAATTTTTCAATCGAGCGACTCAAATAGTAATTTTAGTTGAAACCCCGATAGTGGCTATGTGGTTTTCGGACCAGTGCCGTATCGCCCTTTACGCCCTTAACCCTTTCGCTGCCAGAGGGTTATTGTTTTATTAATCACCTATTTGCCAGAGGGTTTTCTAAGAAATAACTATCTTATTAATTAATATAATTATTATTATTTGTTATTAGTATTATAATAATTATATATGTTTCTAAATCTGTGAGTATAATAATAATTAATGTCGATGGTATGATTTTCTTTATATTTATTATTATTTTTATTATTATTATTATTAATTTATTATTATTACTATTATTATTATAGAAACGGCTAAAGCCGTCCATATGGCAAATACGCCGAAAATAACAGGGACGGCTTAAGCCGTCCTAATGGCAGTGAAAGGGTTAAAGACTTAATAAATTAAAGACTTGACCGGAGCGGTGAGAAGAAAATTGTCTTTTGCAGTTCCATAAAATGTTAACATATTGTCTATCTTACACAGCTTAAAAGCTTCACAAAACGTTTACAGCATTACATACAAAATGAAAATATAAACGATGCTTTCTATTAAAAAGCAGGCAAAATAACATAAGAAGGAGCATACAGTGTTCAAGCCTTTCTTTATTTATTGGTCGATGTCTTTCATGTTTAGTAGATATTTATATTGCGGGTCATTTACATGGATTTTAAGGTCACAGGTGTGAAAACTAGATTATATTACACTTTTGCTTCAAATACACCCTTTATTTATTGACAAATGTATTTCATTTTTTTAAAGACTATACCTTGGTTGGTCCTCTCGTTTTGGTCTGAGTCACTTGTTTCAAGGCTAATGTATTGTGTTTATGTATATTTGATATATAGGCTAGTTGAATATTTTTCAACTTTGACAAATAGCCTCAACGAATTTACGAAATTCCTATTTACATTTTCTTTTCTAACAGGAATAAAAAAGTCATGACTCTGTCAAGTTATACAACTGTGTTCACCATTTAACTTGACTTAGTGAATGAGTAAACCTACTTTTTCTTATTTATTTTTAAGCAAATTGGTTAAGGCCCGAGATAGGTGTTAAATAAACTCAGATTATTGTTTATTTCTCTTTATTTTTTTTTCAGCAATTTAAGACATGGATTGAGTACACAAAAAAAAACAGAAATTCCATAAAGTAAATCAAGTAACATACTGTCTAAAAGTGTTTATTTTTGTACTTTATCATTCGAGTTATTCACAACACACGGCTCATTTCCAGTATACAAAAAAGAAAATGCTGTAAATACAATATGTGTAATCAAATCAAATGTCATGTTTTCCAGATTTCCTTTGAATTAAGTGAACAACTAACATTTCATTATTACATACATGTAAGTGAAATATTTTAACTACATCAATGTGTATTTGTAAAACACAGTTTAAAAAATGTGCATCATATGACCATGCTAACAACAGCTTTGAACATCGATAACACCATTTATTACAAAAAAAATACTACTGAACAAAATTGTGTTTCTTTTTTATTAAAACGTATTGTATTGTGTTGTGTTGTGTTGTGTTGTATTGTATTGTATTGTATCACATATCATATCATATAAATGACGATTTTCAGATAATAAATAATATAGAAATCACAGCATGCTATATCACAGAAAGAAGAAATAATATTACATTTGAATATCGTAAGAAAGAAAAAAATTAAATGATAAATTAATTGGTTGACATGTAAACAGTTTTAATACATTTGATGTATTTATTTACACTTTTTTTACACTTTTCAAAAAAAAAATGAATAAATTCTAACAAAAATGTTAAAAGCCTGGTTTAACCAGAGTTAACTATGCAGTATAATGGAGTGACTTGTGCAAACAAATGAAAAAGGGGAATAATTGAATAAAGCCATGAAGAGTTAGTTACACAATAAAAATCTAGTTACACATAAAATTGTCACAAAATATTGTTTATAACTATTTACTATCTTCTGATTATTCTCAGTACACACCCATCCGTCAATGTTTTACTGTAATTCACTAATCCTGAAATAATAAGAAAGTAATACCTTTAATTTTTAATTAGTCACTATAGATTTAAAGAAATAGAAAATAAGAACTTTTGATTGTTCTTGTAAAAATGTATGTATGTGAAAAAGGCCAATGCTTTATAAGAATGTCGCCTATATTTAACCAATTGTAAGTTTAACCAATTGTAAGTGCTGAGTGGGTAACAGCCAATTTCATTTAATAATACTCCAGTACTCGTAATTGTGCATAAAATAGACGAGTCTGTAAACAGACACATGTATACGGGCATAAAATAGATGAATCTGTAAACAGACAAATGTATACGGGCATAAAATAGACGAGTCTGTAAACAGACACATGTATACGGGCAATCCTTTCTAAAGCATTTGTGTAGGAAATAGTGGCATGCCTTTCATTTTACCATTTATTAAATTTTTAGAGATTTCAGAAAAAGACAAAACCCTTTACATGTTAAATAAGATTTGAATGAAAACAATAAGTCGACATTTTTCTGGATGCACCTCATTAATCGGTTCTAATAACTTTATTGCTAAATTCAAGATGTGTGCTTTGTGTTTTCCTTGAAGATAAACTATGCTCTTCCTTGAGTAAAATATTCTTATCACAGAAATTCGTTGAAATCTTTAAAATTCTTACTGAATATGTCTAATTTGAATAACAGAATGAATAAACTATGTATTGGTTATTGCGTTCCCTATTATAGGCCAAGTAAACTAGGTTTTTTCTTATAATAAAACTGCCAGTTTTTAGCGACACTATATATTCATACTGTGGGCTCCTATAGTGTGTAGAATATTTCAAACACAACATATCTACTTTGTGTGAAGTCAAAACATGTTTATCTTATATTTATAAACATACTGTGTAGCAATCATCAATAGTGTCTATTATCACTATTATATCTTCAATCATTTATCTACTGAAATAATCAAATATTTAAAAGCGACTACAGCCAGGTTAGTCTGAACATTTATGTCTAGATCGTTTATAATAGAAACTTGAATGTTATTTGAAACCACTATCGAATCCGGTCCCTGGAACTAACCAGTACTGATACCATTTGAGGAAACATTGCCGTTACACAAGTAGAGCTCGAACAAAAAATATCTAGGTTGGGGTCGGTTTATTTTTACTTTGTCTTGGCAATGTAAGCTTCAGAATTTCGTGTTTAAATCTTGTATTAGATACAGCAAACGTAAACAGGTAAAAATAATACTGTATAACAATTTTGAATTTGACACTGATAAATTTTTTAACAACCTTTGTTAGAGTTGTCTTATTCCCTTCAACCTTTATAGAGTATGCAACATTATCTCTGGGATTGACACCATTATGTAGCTTCCCATCTTTAGCCCAGGCCCACGCCATTTGTTCAGTTCTAAAAGAGAACACCGGAATACCATCCTTTCCAATGCCTATGATACCGGCCGAGAAATTATTCTTAGCTTTGGCAAGTTTCTTACTCATTGTGCCTAGAGCTTCATCTGCAGCGTCCTTTAGTGTCATGTCCTCTGTTCAAAAGATTTGGTCATTCAAAATGTATGTTTTTATTGCTAGCATTTATATGTCAAATTCTTAGATTTTATTTCACCTCCTATTTCTTAACTTTTGTATTAACTATTTCACTGCAGATATAAAAGAACTTTATTTCGATACCATATTTATAAAAGAAAATCTGTTTCTCTTTTTAACTGTAAGAGTTATGATGTTTTTTTTTTCAAATCTAATAATCAAACGACGTTACACCAAGACACTGCGCTTCCTTACTTAATACATTTTTTATAATTATTCTACGCAGTTGTAATATAAACCTCGCATAGCGGTCCTATACCGTTTACATAGGGCCATATCACCTGCTAAAGTCATTATGACTAGTTATACGCATAATTCAGAAGACTTCGAACAATAAAATTGTAAACAAATGTATTACTGTATTTCATTAATGAGATGATATCATGTGCTAACGCCACTCTCGTTATTGACTCCCCATGACCGGTGCAGGAGATACCAGCAACATTATTGTCAGCATAACCACCTATACCTGTAACCAGACGACAAATTGAGTAAAAATTATTTCAATAGTGTCTAATAGAACAGCTTATTCTATTCTTTTAGGTTCTTATTAAATTGTCAAGGGTTATTTTAGTGTTAATTGGTTCAATAATTTAGTATCCGCCCTTAAATGCCCAGCCCTTGGAGCTCTATCTATGTTTTTGCTTGGTGCCCTACTGGGCACATTCACAGGGGTTTGTGTAAATGAAGTTTTTGGAATGGGGGAGGGGCTGCGTTCTGTGAATGCCACTATGCCTTGTTGATTTTTATTCGCATACTTTAAATGCGTATGAGCATGTCTTGTGTAATTAATTGGAGAATGAATAAAGTTAAAGGTTATCTATTTCAATTATAATTCTAAAATTGAAATTAGTTTTTTAAAATAGATGCAGTTCTAAATAAACACAATAAAACAATAAATAAAGTCATTTGTATATCAGATGAATACTTATCTGTTGCATCCGATTAGTTTGCTTAAGTTCAAGCATTATGAACATACCAACTAACGGGCTATCTCCCACTCTGCCAGGCCTCTTGTTGGTTATTCCACCAGTTGACGTTCCAAATGCAATGTTACCATTATTGTCAATGGCTACGGCCCCAACAGTATCATGGCCCCTTTAAATAGTCATCATTTATTACATTGTCTGAATTAAGGCATATTTGTTTTTGCTTGGTACCAATAGTCCTGACAAATTTCAAAATTAAAATCATGAAGGGACAAAAACTCTGACAAAAATCAATGAACCGAAAAATGTTGATGAGATGCACAACTAGACATGGTAATGATCATTCACCTAAAATTATGATGAAATTACACCGGCAGTTTCTGAAGAGTAGTCCAGACAAACGTCTGTGTAGCTGGCAACACACAAAAAAACACTTTTTTTTATTCAAGGGCAATAACTCAGCCAAAAATCACTCAAGCGAAAAATTTGTGTTTTATGCACAAGGACTTGACCTACCACTTAATCCTGTAAAGTTTCATTGAAATAATGGTATATGAGGAGTAGTCCGGACAAATTTTATTATTTCAAGCTGAAATAACTAAGCTGAAAATCATTCAAGCCGAAAACCCGTGTAATATGCACAAGTGCTTGACCTACCAATCAATCCTGTAAAGTTTCATTGAAATTGCATAAGTGGTATAAGAGAAGTAGTCCGGACAAACTTTAAAAATTAAAAATAATTAAAGGGCCATAACTCTGACAAAATTCATTGAACCATAAAAGCCGATGATATATGCACAACTAGAACTAACTTGGTACAAATCATTCCTGTAAAGTTTGGATGAAATTGCACCAGTAGTTTTTGAGAAGTAGTCCGGACAAGCTTTTGTCTATCTAGCAACACACAGAAAAACCACCTTTTTATTAAAGGGCCATAACTCCGCCAAAAATTATTCAACCGGAAAACCCGTGCAATATGCACAAGGACTTGAGCTGCTACAGATCAATCTTGTAAAGTTTCTTTAAAATTGCATTAGTGGTATAAGAGGTGTAGTCCGGCAAACTTTAAAATAAAAATTATTAAAGGGCCATAACTCGGACAAAAATGATTGAACCAAAAAATGCTAACGATATGCACAACTAGACTTGGTACTGATCATTCCTGTAAAGTTTGAATAAAATTGCACCAGCAGTTTATGAGGAGTAGTCCGGACAAGTTTTGTGACGGACGGACAGACTGACAGACAGACGACGGAGAAGTGATCCCTATATGTGGCCACTACTCCGTAGAGGCGACACAAAAATGGAAACATAAAGGATGATAAGCAAATCAAACTTGAAAACGTTGCAGATATAGTTCGACTGAGTCTAATAATGAACGACAGTGGTAAATACGAGGCTGCCCTAAACATCCTGAACACCATTTAAAAATATTTAAAAAATCATTTGATTTTGAAACATCCTTCATTGTATTTAAAAGGCGATGATAATGGAAACTTCAATGTGATACTTTCATATTATTCAAAGCGGCGTATTGTCATCAATTAAAAGAATGTGTGTGTCCTACAGAAAAAGAATGGCCAGAAAAACAAAACAAAAATAAAATTTTGAGAGGGGATCAAAGAGTAATACGCCTGCATTTCACAGTCAATTGTCAGAAGATAAAACAAAGTATAAACAGTTATAAATGAGAAATACTGATCCAACGTAACGAGAGAAAAAAATGGAGTTGAAATAACATAAAACATAGTGCTGGGACAAAGAATAATCGGAAATCAAATATGCTGTTCTTTCTTTTCTCTTTATTTTGCCATTTCTACGCATATGAGAATACTCTTCTCTATCTGCATTTTTAGCTCGACTTTTCTATGAAAAGGGGAGCTATCCTACTCGCCCCGGCGTCGGCGTCGGCGTTGGCGTCACACCTTGGTTAAGTTTTTCGTACCACCCCACTTTATTTCAGAAGTATTACAAGTATGGCTTTGAAACTTACCATACTTGTTCACCATCATAACCTCCATCTACAGACAAGAGTACATAACTCTGTCAAGGTTTTTGACAGAATTATGGCCCTTTTTTGACTTAGAAAGTGTATTGAGCTTGGTTAAGTTTTTTGTACCACCTCACTTTATTTCAAAACCATTGGAGGTATTGCTTTGAAACTGACCATACTTGTTTACCATCACGACCTTCATCAACAGACAAGAGGACATAACTCTGTCAAGGTTTTTGACAGAATTATGCCCCTTTTTGACTTAGAAAATACATTGAATATGGGTAAAATCCACTTATTGCCTTAACCCTTTGAGATATTGCTTTGAAACTTTTAATGCTATTTCACATCATTACCCCCATCTGTACGCAAGAGAAGGTAACTCTGTCAGGGATTTGTTTTAAAAATTAAGGCCTTTTATCGACTTAGAATCTTGGTTAAGTTTTTTGTACCAGTCAACTTTTTGACTGAACTGGTTGAGATATTAAATTGAAAGTTGGAATACTTGTTTACCATCATGGTCCCAAACATGGGCAGGAGAAGGTAATTCTGTTAAGGATTTTATTTGAATTATGGCCCTTTTTGACTTAGAAACTCAGTTAAAATTTTCATTCTTGTCCACTTGTTGACCTAACCATTTGAGATATTACTTTGGAAGTTGGAGTTCTTATGTGCCATCATGAGACCTATCTGTAAGCAAGAGAAGATAACTCTGTGAAAATGTTTCTTGATTTGTACTTAGAAATTCCTAGTTAAAGTCTTGTGTGCCCTTAACTGTCAAAGTTTTGTTTTATAGGCAAGCACTAAAAAAGTCGAGCGCGCTGTCCTTCTGACAGCTCTTGTTAAATTAGAGAATTTACACTATATTAGAGTATATCTTTTTTAGCTGAATTGTGTCAAAGAAAAAGTCTATTATGATCATTGTGCATTGATGTCATCATCGTCATCTATCCAGCTGGCTTACGGAACGTCGGTGGTTCTACTCAGGTGCCCGTTCGTGCCTGAAATGCCACGACCAGCATGGATCCAGTCCAGCCTGCGCATCTGCGCTGTCTGATCAGGAGCAATGATGTTAGCTATCAGTTTTTAGCTCGACTTTTCTATGAAAAGGGGAGCTATCCTACTCGCCCCGGCGTCGGCGTCGGCGTCGGCGTTGGCGTCGGCGTTGGCGTCACACCTTGGTTAAGTTTTTCGTACCACCCCACTTTATTTCAGAAGTATTACAAGTATGGCTTTGAAACTTACCATACTTGTTCACCATCATAACCTCCATCTACAGACAAGAGTACATAACTCTGTCAAGGTTTTTGACAGAATTATGGCCCTTTTTTGACTTAGAAAGTGTATTGAGCTTGGTTAAGTTTTTTGTACCACCTCACTTTATTTCAAAACCATTGGAGGTATTGCTTTGAAACTGACCATACTTGTTTACCATCACGACCTTCATCAACAGACAAGAGGACATAACTCTGTCAAGGTTTTTGACAGAATTATGCCCCTTTTTGACTTAGAAAATACATTGAATATGGGTAAAATCCACTTATTGCCTTAACCCTTTGAGATATTGCTTTGAAACTTTTAATGCTATTTCACATCATTACCCCCATCTGTACGCAAGAGAAGGTAACTCTGTCAAGGATTTGTTTTAAAAATTAAGGCCTTTTATCGACTTAGAATCTTGGTTAAGTTTTTAGTACCAGTCCACTTTTGACTGAACTGTTTGAGATATTAATTTGAAAGTTGGAATACTTGTTTACAATCATGATTCCCAAACATGTCCAGGAGAAGGTAATTCTGTCAAAGATTTTATTTGAATTATGGCCCTTAACTGTCAATGTTTTGTATTATAGGCAAGCACTAAAAAACTTAAAAAATCTAAAAAAATTCATTCCTATCCACTTGTTCACTTTACCATAAATTATGTCATATAAACATTGCTGTAATATTCAAGGGTATCAAACAACTAGTTATTTTTCTCTTTTTGTACTTGAAATTAAAATCAGTAGTATATGCATATTTCACATTTTATCTCGCCTATTACTGCAAAAACTTTTTTTATTGGCAAGCAATAAAAAAGTCGAGCGCGCTGTCTTACGGACAGCTCTTGTTCTACTTGTAATAGGGTTTATAAGCGGACAGCATGGATCATGATGAGACTGCGCTGATGCGCAGGCTGGTCTGGATCCATGCTGGTCGCAAACATACTATGTTGGTTTTACCATAGCGCTGCTCAATATATAATACAAAAAATAGTAGTGTTTAAAAATCTAATCTGATATGGGTTAATCATTTGCTGACCAAAGGGAGGTAATGCAATATCAATTATTAGCTCGACTTTTCTATGAAAAGGGGAGCTATCCTACTCGCCCCGGCGTCGGCGTCGGCGTTGGCGTCACACCTTGGTTAAGTTTTTCGTACCACCCCACTTTATTTCAGAAGTATTACAAGTATGGCTTTGAAACTTACCATACTTGTTCACCATCAAAAACTTTTTTTATTGGCAAGCAATAAAAAAGTCGAGCGCGCTGTCTTACGGACAGCTCTTGTTAAATACTTGTCTAAGAGCATTTCAAAATTCACTAACAAGGGGCTTTAAAGGCTTCTTTACAAGAATTCATAACTGTATTTCCTGTTTATGCATACGTGATCAGGTTTCATGAACTTTAAAATTCAGATAACTAGTGTTTTTACAATCATGATCTTTTTTATCAACGGGGGAGTTACACTCAGATTTTGACAGCGAGTCAAATGATTAACTTAACAAATCTCAAGCTTACGGCGGTTGTTGACTTTCCATAACCGTTCATGAACAGGTTGAATCAAACCGAACATGCAACATTTTCAATTTTGTCGTTTTGGGCGTTCTTCAGAGATTCCGTTTTTATATAATTATTCAATTCGTTCTCATTCTTTGCAGGACATGCATAATTATATTTGTATTATAAATCAATCTATTCCAGAATTAATTTTTACATAATGCATGCCTTTAATAACCTTATAAATTCTTTAGTACATGGACACTGAAAATGCAATATGTAATAAAATTATCTATCTGATTTTCAACACAAAAAAAGTATCTGAATATTAAAATACATGTATATTAAACAATGAATATACCTGGTGCTAAAATCATTCTGTGCGGCTTTTCCGTAGGAGCCTTTGAACTTTTCCAATTTTCGTTTATTTTCTTCCGTGGTAAGTTCTTCTGTTGAAATACGTGGTATTTTTTCCTCGTCAGCAAACATATTCGCTCCTATTCCCACAAGAAGACAGTGATCTGTCTGTAAAGGGCAAAAAGAGAAGCAAATGTTTTAATAAAGGATGTGATTGTCGAAATAGAATTTTTAAAATTATTTTTGCATCATTAGCAGACGGAAAATGGTATCAGCATAATGTTAATAATTTTATGTCGTTTTAATATTATTTGTATTTTAAATAATGTTGTCATCATATTATTCCCTTTCAAGTATGTAAATTTATCATTTCAAGTCACTAAATACAAAGGAAAATACTATGTACTTCTTACTTCTGACTTTCTCATCTAATTTTCAATATTTGTACTTCTGAATTTATGTTACTCACGTTTTCCATTACTTTTCTTGCTAAGCCTATTGGATTTTTCACATTTTTCACAGCTGCAACAGCCCCTGATTCTAAGGTTCTTCCATCCATGATAACTGCGTCCATCTCAATATCACCTTCCGACGTCAGAGGAGAGCCAGTTCCTTTATAACATTATGATTCGTCAAATTGATTATATAATGTGACTTTTTTTAGCGTGTTTTGCCGTCTGTTTAATTATTTGCACTTATTTCTTTTTTTTAAAATAGCAATTTTGACAGACAATTATAATTGTATTTGCAGTTGTTTCAAAATAACCAGTTTTGTTCCCGAGTTATATTTAATTTGAGCATTTTGTAACACTGAGTTTGCATTCGTATTTATATACAGTGTAACTTCTGAAAACCGAACACCCACGGGACTTGTCAAAAAGTTCGGATTTCAGAGGTTTCCGGAATTCAGAGGTTTATGATAATGTGGACAAGACTTGTTGTTAATTGCATAAACTTACATATTGTCCGATGCTACTTGATTAATTATTACATCAAATGCAATACAATCCCTAAAGACGTTTGATGCATACATCCCAATTAATTGTCATTTAATCCGCTTATGAACACTTCAAATTAACTGACCGTCGTAAATTACTTTACTTAACCGCATCACTTCAAACATACCATTTCACAGTTTGTGATTTTAACGCGTGTCAAATTACACGATCACCGCTAATTAGTAAACAATCGACAGGGAGATTAAATCTTCCTGCAGGGTAAACATTCTCGACTTACAATGTATTTCACACCTTTGAATATTTCCGGTTTTTGGAGGTAAGATTGCATTGATTTGACTCTAATTTTACGACAATATCGTCCGGAATTCAGAATTTAGAAGTTCCTGAATTCAGAAGTATTATATTAATAGAAAAGAGAAGGGAAAAAATCGGTACCGAAAAAAATGTTCGGTTTTTAGAAGTTTCCTGATTTCAGAAGTTCCGGAATTCGGAAGTTACACTGTATATCATATTAGTTATTGTCTAATTTCAAATGCTAATAATTATAAATGTATCAAATGACATATTTTCTATTGATAGAGTTTTTGTTCATTATAAATAATTTTCCTTTGCTAATATTTCCATTAAAAAGATGGAATATATGAGATGGGATTTTTGTCTTTGAGTTTGTGCAAAGGATATTTGATTTTTCTATAAAAAAGATTTAATAAAATAAATATGAAAATATCAAATTAGGTCATTTCTTTACATTGATTCGTGTACAAAAACGAGGATAAAAGGAAGGTCAATATATTAAATTGATTATTTCAATCGCAAATGAATTCTGCATTCATCGATTATTTTACCAGCATTTATTAAAAAGACACGAAGACAAAGCAGAAGTCTGTTTAGAATATTTTCTTTTCTACAAAACAATTGCTGTTACAGCTTGATGATTAGAATAATTGGATATCGGAATGGCAAATCATCAACCACTTCTTTAATATGAAAACTAAAAAATATCAGCTAGCTTTAAGGCTCGAGATCTGTTATATTTGGAAATACTCGTGAAATAGTTGGGACCACAGCGCTATCATCATAGAATGCCAAACATCTGCGACAGGTATCTTGAATTTCCTTTAACATTTTGCGCCAAAGTATTTTGAAAAATAATAAGGAAAATGTTAGGAATTTGATTACTAAGACTTTATCTGTGAATGACTTCATTTAATATTTGCTTACGCACCTGCATCAAAAGTTGGATCATTCTCCAACTCACAAATAGCCGCTTCCACTGCTTCTAGCGCTGACTTATCTTTCAATAGAACTTCGTACCCTTTCATTGCAGCGTTTCTTGTGCCCGCTAATGCCATCTCCGCTTTCTTGCCAGGAAATCTAACTGCTCCACCGTGAACAATTATGGCTGGTTCCATACTTGTTCTGATCTCGTTTCCTTTTTTCTTCTTAGAGAACTTCAAAGACATAATCATTGATTTTACGTTGCAATCAAATATTATCGTTCATTTATGATCATTACATTTCATTCATCGAAGATAATAAAGATACCTATTTTTAAAGATACACTTTAAGAAGACCAATTTATTATTAAAAAATAAACATTCTCTCAAATTACAATACTTTAAACAATTTTTTAACAATTTTTGCATTAAATGATACATTCGTTGGTCCCAGGTGTTAGATTGCTTTGGCATATTCAAGGGCTAATAAATGTCTCTAAATTTCTATATCTTGTATGAATTAAAGCCATAATAATTTCTGTTTATTTTCGCGGTATAGCATTAATATTGTTGGTAATTTTGACAATTTGACACATTTTTTTCAATTGTTGAACACAACATATATTTTAACTCTCTGTAACCTAAGGCAATTTCGGAGAAACATATATTTTGCAATTAATTACAATTTCTTTTATCATAGTTTACCCAATCCATTCACTGAACAAAATTTCAAAACAATAGCTCATTAGCTGATATAAAAAGGTTATATAAAGCATCTCAAAGCACAGACAAATTACGTACATTAGAAATTGGAAAAAAAACATTGATTGTAGTATAATGCTTTCATTGCCATATATGTATAAATTCTTAATATCTTCAGTATCATATTCTTTCTAGATAAATGGTAACAAAACCGAAAAGCTAAAAAATTGTTGTCTCGATTTGATTGAGTAGTCTCCATGACAGATGATATATAATGGAAAGTCCCCTAAGTGGCTAAGGAATATCAAATCACAAACACTATAAATGCAATCGATGTGCTAGTGGGCGTACGCGGTAACTTGCACTTCCAAGTATTATCCATGAACAGGCTCATTGTAATCGTGGCTACAACATTTTGAATCTTGTCGTGTAGGGCTTTCTTTAGGGATTGTGTTTTTCTCATTATTTTGGGGCCAAAAATATAACAGTTCTTAGAAAAAGTACGAGGCAAAATATTACAGCAGCCCTATTTCAACAGCACTTTTTACATGCTGAGTATAATCTTGAAATTCGAGTTCCCTCGAGAGCTTTGAAAAACAATTTAAAAATACTAAAAACAAGATCAACAAGGAAAGGTGGTTTTCAATAAACGCATCCCCTACACGACAAAGCAACACAGGACCGTCAGCAAGGAGCCTAGCAGGACACAAAACAAAAACAAGACAGAGTGACAGGCAACCCATGGATGGGGTGTTAATTTTTAAATAATACATTAATGGAAACAAGAGTAACCAACAAGAAAATTAAAAATTAAAAATCAATTAAGAAGAAAGTGTTGGGTGCAAAATTAAAAGAACTAGGGGCAAGGATACGTACAGCAGACGAGAAAAAACAAGAAGGAACACAATAGCATGGATCAATAAACTAGACATACTCGTACATCAGAGGAACACAGAGGGTCGCATATTCAATTTCATTAAATTTATTGAGTATGCTCATGAGAGACAGATACTACAATTATTTCAAGAAGAATTCTATCAGATTTAACAGTCATTTTTATACGTTTCTAAATGTAAAAGCTCCGTCCTTTAAAATTATACAGATGTCTTGGAAATATGTTCCAATTATAGTCAGTTTTATCAAAGTACCGAGGAAAAATGGACAAAGTTTTTTGCACTGATAAATTTGTTTGTCTAGAGCTACGTATGTTCCCACACCTGATCAAAGATGACGCTATGCTTATCTTGCAATAATATATAATCTTGCGAGTTTGTCTATTTTTTGCTAAGTGCCCTGCTTAGCTGCTCCTTGTCGGCGGTAAATCAATGTCGCTCTTGATCTTTGTTTTCAGTTTTGTACTTTAGTACGATAGACAAAGTGTTGTGTTTATGGTAGGTACTATGTCAGACTGTTATAACAACAATAAATGTGTCGAAGTTTCTAAATCTGACTTGAATTAAAGCGACTGAAGATTTCAATTTGTGTCAGAAGTTTATAAGTTTTATTTGGTAAGTTTGACACTTTTATAACCGGTGTTGCTTTATTGTCAGATCAAAAACTTTTTTGCCGCTCAGGCTACTTCAGATCAAATACATTAAGGAGAATAAATATCATCATTCACCAATACTTGAGATCTTATGTCACACAATGATAAGAGAAGCTTCAAGTTTTGTGTATGTATGTCTTTAAATGAAAAATAATTAAATTACACAGAGTGCCCTGTATTGTTTCAAAGTTCAAATATATCTCATTTGCAATTACCCGGTATTTATGATTAACCAATTATTTTAGTATATTCACTTTTACAATCATCCCATACACATGTGTTTGAAAAGGTTTACATAACAGATCTTATTAATGAAAACTGTATTTATTCAAATATTAAACTAAAATAGACTGTCACATATTAATAATCGTTACCTTTTCACGGTCTTTAAAAGATTTTTAAAAGGCAATGTTTTCATAGGTAAGAATTCGGACCAATATGAACGAGATGAGTTATGAAAAATAAATTGTAATAAATTAATAAGTACATAATCTAATACAGAGTATATGAAAATAATATTAAATTCAATCTCCTCCTATGACCTTGAACTTTAACCAGTGGCCTTGGTCTTATACGCGACACATTGTCTTCTTAAAGTGGTGGTCATGTGTAACAGTTTGTAACAAAATGTTTACAAGTTTTTCAAAAATGCAAACACTCGCGTTCTCGCACGCACGTACTCACATCCACACGTGGAGAAAATTCTCTTACGAAAATAAGATAATAAAACTAAGAGTAATCCCTTTGCTGTGCCCTTGATCTAAGAATTACAGATAAGTCATGCACACGACACATTATTTACCTATGATGAGAGATACACGCTGTTCATTCCCCAGCTTGACCTTGACCTTTTGCTTAGGTGTGTATGTCTTGCAGGCGGCAATTTTTTTTAATTATGGTGGTAATGTGAAATAATTTCTCTTTGTAAATCCCTCATTGTGTACACCGGTCTTACTGACCTGTGTGAAACCACTCTAAGCATGATGGGAACGCACTACTTTTTACATGGCGGCTTGAACACAGAAGTGATAGAACAAAACGCATATGGGGCCAGTTGAAAAAATAAACTTCTTCCATACTCTGTTGGCATAATAACCGTTACATCGTTTTTACTCCAAACATGCACCAAACACTCCTTCTGACAATCCTTTATTGGTTTTACAAACCCAGTTTCGTTCAACACGCGTGATAGTATTTCGTCGATTGTAAGTTTAAATTAAAACCGAAAGTGAAAGTAGTTTTGAATATTTGAATAAATAGTAACACAGTGGAACTATCAATTGCACTTGCAATATTAAACTCTGGAAAACAGTGATCCTTTGAAAGCAATAAACGATTTAAATCACTTGAAAAGATATATTGTGATTTATAAAATAAAATTGTCATTTCTACGTGGACTTCTTTATGTCGGAATCATTTTTACCCTCATTTGGGGTGAGTAATGCGTCGTAAGACAAAATTACGTCGACATTTAGGAGACCGGTGTGTAAACAATGGAAATCCCTAGTACATTCATTTTTTGAATTTACAGACATACGCCCGCATGCACGCTCACAGACGCCTGGGACGGGGATAAAATGTATAATACTCTATGAGCATAAAAGAACAAAGAGAAACATGTTTCTGTGAATATGCACTGGCAAGACAGGAGCGAGTGCTTTTTAAATAGAATACTTTCAGCTTCAAGGGAAGCAATAAATCTGATAAATATCTGGAATCATAAATGTTTCAAGAATAATTTGATGAGAAAATGGGCATTTAAGAATGTAAAATTTGAAATTGACAGGCAATGAAAAGGGCATGAAATGCGTTTTCTACTGTATTTAAAATTTATATGGATTTAGATTGAATTATTTAATCGTCGAGATGACAATTCCACTACAATTGTTGTACACGTCGTATAAACGCCTTAGTAATTTGTTTTAGAACAGCAAGATTAGTATAAAATATTAATAAATGCAGGAAGTTTATTTGCAAAATTACGGTAAAAACCGTTACAATATTTAAATTTAAATATCGAGAAAATCTATCACTACAATGTACAAATATAGCAATTTTATTCAAGCAAACTTTATAGCAACTCAGACAAAAGCTGTTAATATGTGGATTGTACACTTAATAGATTATATTGTGATTAAAATAGTTACAAAATACATAGAACAAAAGAAATCTTATTTATTTCATGTCTAAAATCACTACCAAACCTACTAAAATTAGAAACAGAATATTTTTACGAATATATACGAATATTCATTCGTATATGAAATGTCATAGCCATTCTGTGTGAAATATCTTTCATAGACAATCATGAGGTTATAAAAACAACTTAATTTTACTGTTTTTTTAAATTTTGATATAACTATATCATCAGATATAGCTTTATACACTTTAAACGTTTATAAAAAAAAAACAATCTGATTTTGATATCATATTGCAATGTCAAGGATTTACTTCTTATAACATATTTCAATCAATCCTTACTTGGTTTTAAAATTAAAAAAAAATGGATAAAAACATTTTGCAATGTAAGTTCTAAGAATTACTGTACTTAGGGTTTTAATTTCCTTTTTTATTTTATATGGGCATACTAATGTTCAAAAAAAGATGGTTAATATGGTGACTGATTTCTGCCATTTCGTGTTTTGGTGTCTTCGCCCCGAAAGTCAAAAGGCGAAGCCTATTTGTCGATATTTCTACTTTCGCGTTTCGGGGCGAAGACACCAAAACACGAAACATTCTAGGCGAAATAACGAAACTTTAACACGCGAAGGGACGAAAATTTCATTGTTTAAGTTTTCGTTTCGGCGGGGCGAAATCTTTCGTGTCCGCGCCCTTTGTCGTGTCTTCGTGTCTTCGCCTCGAAATCCGAAGGTCGAAATAACGAAAATACGGCAGATGTTTGTGTTTGTCGTGATTTGGCCCCGAAACGCGAAAGTCGAAATAACGACAACGACATCGTTTCGGGTTTCGCCTTCCGGTAGAGGTGATACTAAACTGCTGATGAATTAGCTGACGATATAGAATATATAGGAAACTTCTGACCAGTAAAATAAAGGATTATCGAAAACTGCTGACCAGTTAAATAAATAAGGGAAAACATTGAAGGTGTCAAAATGTCGTTGCTGTTATTATAGGCGAGGTCGAGAGATACTCGATCAGATGGGTTTTTTTGTTTGTTTTTTTTTTTTTTAATTTTTCAAGATGGCAATATTACAAATGAAAAATGTTAATATTATCAATTTTAATTGATATATTTCTCAATTTCTATTGATAATAATATTTTATTTCAGTATGATAATGGCTTGTTTTCTTTGTGTTATATATTGATTGAAATTCATAATATGGTGAACTTTCATAAAAAGTATCATAATTTGTTTCAAATATGTATAAAACTATGCGTCTTAGTTAAAATATACTGTATACATATATTAATGCATATTTTAACAATTTATAATGATTATTTCGTATTGAGTGCAAATCTGAAATAAAATTGCATGAACAATAACAGGATTTTATCTTTTTCATCAATTGTGATTAGCCGGAAAATTAATTATATTATGGAATTATTGCACATTCTATTATTTTTTCTGTGTTCGCTATTCATTAGAAACTCTTACTGGAAAATAAATGAAAATTGCAAGTAGAACTTCGTCGTAATCTGTAAATTCGCACCTACAAAATACACAATATCGAGATCGGCATGCCCCAAGGTCATATATTAGTTTGAAGAAATTTCACACGTGTCATTCTTCATTTGTCTTTGAGTTGACAAAATAAACAGTCCAAAATATGTTATTAAATGCGGACCAGTAAGATATATAGAGCAAAAAATATTTTGCCCTGAAATTGTTATTCAATCTGCTGACCAGTTAAATATAAAGGGAAAATGCTGACCAGTTAGTTATATAAAGAAAAACCTATTTTGCCGTGAAATTGTTATTCATTTTATAATGTCTGCAAGTTTATTTTATAATGTCTGCAAGTTTGATATATTGTATAAAATCATGTCGACAATCCAATAAAGTAAACAAAGCTGACAAATTATATATTAATTCAAATTGATTTAAGCCGTAAATCTCTTCTTATTTTATATGGTACTCGTTCTGCGCATGCCTACCGGAAGACGAACCCCGAAACAAAGTCATTGTCGTTACTTCGGCTTTCGCGTTTCGGGGTGAAATCACGACAACACGAAAATCTGCAGTATTTTCGTTATTTCGACCTTCGCGTTTCGAGGCGAAGACACGAAGAAACGACAAACAAAGGGCGACGAAAGATTTCGCCCCGCCGACACGAAAACTTAAACAATGGAATTGTCGTCCCTTCGCGTGTTAAAGTTTCGTTATTTCGCCTAGAATGTTTTGTGTTATCGTGTCTTCGCCCCGAAAGGCGAAAGTTGGAATAACGACAAATAGGTATGTTTTCGTGTCTTCGCCTTTCGACTTTCGGGGCAAAGACACGAAAACACGAAATGGCAGAAATCAGCTGGCATAGTATTAAAGACCTGGCATTTCGAAATAAAACAAATGATTTGGGCGAGAGATATTTAAATTATAAGTGTAAATTGTTTTATAAAATTGTTTAACACTAAAAAGGTATTTTCAACCACAACTTCGATGTAAAATCGTAATGTGTTTTCTTTGCATGAACATGTTTGACTGGCTCTTGGTATCAAACGTTTAGAAATATGACTCACACACAGATATATATTTTACACTAATACTATTAAGTTTCATAACTTTATAAAAATTAAAACAGTCATGAAATAAATATCCGAAATTGTTGAAGAAATTTGAAAAAAAATACTGAAATGTTGAATTCTACTCAAGCTGGTGTTAGGGGGGCGTAACGTATGAGCATATTCAATCAAACCGAGTATGCAATATTTTCAATTTTACCGTTTTGGACATTTTTAGGAATTCCTTGTTTCATCTGAATGTAGTAATATAAAGTTACGTAAATAATGTTGCGCATTTGACATGTTTCACTTAAAAATCTCTCTTAACACATAGATAAAAATGATTGATTTATTCTTGCTTTCTACAAAATCAACATACTACATCGACATTCTATATTTGCCATGAAGCAAAATAAAAAAAGCGTAGATGTATATAATATAAGTCATTTGTTATCGTGTGTAATTAAGATTTGAGCCGTGCCATTACAAAACCAACATAATGGGTTTGCGACCAGCATGGATCCAGACCAGCCTGCGCATCCGCGCAGTCTGATCAGGATCCATGTTGTTCGCTTACCAACCCTATTACAAGTAGAATAACTGACAGCAAACAGCATGGATCCTGATCAGACTGCGCGGATGCGCAGGCTGGTCTGGATCCATGCTGGTCGCAAACGCACTATGTTGGTTTTGTCGTGACGCGGCTCAATTGTTTTCTTATTCAGAAATAAAAAAAAACTTGAAGTATATTCATTGACAAAAGAAAATAATACGTTACCATAAATGTTTTTTGTTGTTTCTCTTTCAATTTACAATGTTTACTTTTACTCTACAGACATTACTTTGTATATTCCAATGAAAATAATTTGATGTTTTACAAAAATAAATTGCAAAATTAATTAGTTCAAAGAATGTGTGTATTATTTTATTTTATTTGCCATAATGCTGATTTGCTTTTTGTATTGTAATGTTTTTTATTGCACATAAAATCAAATTAGATAGATTATGGTGCCTGTACTGAATAACAAATTTTGTTTTTGTGATTTTGCAAATTTACCTTTTATAATTATTATACTCTAAATGAACACCGTATCAATGCATTACGCAAAAATGATCAATTTATGAAAATTTAATATATTGCAAAACTAAAGAAATACAAATTCGTACCATATTAAAAGGGAAATATTCAAACATCCGATACATTGTCCGAATTGCAAATTGTGATATTTTTGTGTGTGTCAAACGATAGAGACACTACAAGTGGGATTTTTTTCTCAGTCAAAAATGAAATTGCAAGTACTAACATGTGTTCAACTATATTGAAATAAAAGAACATACTTATGGTGGCTGATTTGTGCCATTCGTGTTTTCGCCCCTCGACCCCGCCATTTGAACTTGCTTATTTTCGACTTTTCGCTTGGCGGGGTTGCGGGACGAAAACACGCTGATTAGCGGGGGCGCGCGGCGAAGTTTTATTTATTAAACTTCGCGCTAATTAGCGTGTTTTCGCTCTGCTCCCCCGCCATTTGAACTTGTTAATTTTCGACTTTTCGCTTGGCGGGGTCGCGGGACGAAGTTTTATTTATTAAAATTTGCCCCGCGCCCTCGCTAATTAGCGTGTCTTCGTCCCGCGACCCCCGCAGTTTTATTTCTTAAATCTCGCTCCGCACCCCCGCGGGACGAAGTTTTATTTATTAAACTTCGCCCCTCGCCCTCGCTTATTAGCAAATTTTCGCTCCGCTCCCTCGCCATTTTGACTTCATTTTCGACTTTTTGATTGGCGGGGTCGCGGGGCGCAAACACGAATGGCACAAATCAGCCACCATACATACTTGAATATTTTAGAAAAATAATTTTGCTTGAATTAAGAAAAAAATAAACGTTTAGTAGGCTTTAATTCTATATAACTAATTTCTTACTCAAACATATAACCTTAATTTTTTCGTGATTAAGGGATGATAATGATAAGATAAATTTGATGATGATGATGACAACGATGATGATGATTGTGAATATTATTATAACAAAAAGTATAGCGAATAATTTGAAGCAATGCACATTTTTATGGTCACAGGAGGCGAGGTCACCTTGTGAAGTCTTTCGAAGAATTATATTTATAGAATATTCTTTTCAAGGAATTGCTTTTGAATTATCTTATTTTTGGAAATCGATAATTTGGCTTTTTACCAGATTTGAGGTTATAAATATGTCAAGGTGAGAATCACATGAAGTAAATAACTTAATGTCTGGCTCATTTCTATGATTCTTGATTGAGAGAGATTTTTATAAATACAGAATATAATAAAGCTATAACTTAAAAAATTGGCTTGTTCATGTTCAGACTCAAACCGAGTCTGCAATTTTAGTGTAATTTTCTTGTAACTGATTTCAAAGAGATCACACATTTTTCCAGATTTTTGTATTTCAGGTTCCATAATAAAAAAAAGAAATACTCTTGGGTGTTATTGGTTTAAGCTTTTCTGAAATGTGTGAATATTAATAAAAAAAACATGTATTTAAATGTTTCCTAAATTTTAAAACATTATAAAACTGCTATTTATCGCAAACATGGCACTAACATAAATAACTTAAAGGAGCTCCATTAAGGTCCAAAAACCTTTTAGATTTGTTGCATAGATCAGTTGAGGCATTTAAAACAAAAAAAAGATATGCAAACTTTAAAGATAATTAACTAAGAAATAAATTAAAAACTGTATAATTATGCTATTTTTAGCCCGATTTATGTGAAAAGCGTTGCAATATTTGACCATTTTCCACATTTATAATTATTTTTTCTAAAATATAGGAGGAAGCGAATGAACACGTTATTGGTCTAGTACTTTATCAAATGAACAAATTATTTCTTGTCACATCATGTTACGAAAAACCTCAGTGGGGTCCCGAAAGCACCTTGTGACAATTTACGGTGTGGATATAATTCAAATACAGGCATGGTATAATGACGTTACAATCTTTTCAAAACCAAACTATTACCCATCATGTTTGACTATGTAATTAGCTATCGTAAATAAATAATTATAACCCTCCACATTTTTTCTCTCCTTTTGCAAAATTTGCAGCGACCTTTAATGTTATCAAATGTTACAACGCCCTTCAGTTCAAAGATACACATACTTAATAACCATAAATATGCTGAAATGAATGACAATTTATTAAACACTAAATGAATTTTGCTGAAATTCTAAACCCATGCCTGGTTATTGCATTTTTAATGAGATTCTAAATTTATGCCTGGTTTTTGCATTTATGCATTAGGTCGTAAGATTTTCCTTGACAGCCTTGTAAAATAAATTAAAAAGAAAAGAAAATTATCTCTACATTTATTTTAAAATCGATCATTAATACACGTGTTACTATATATAGTAACACAATTGCCTATGATTTCAACTGATTATGAGTGTCACGTGACCTATTATGAGTTTGCGGCCCGGGGCCGAGAACTAGTTATCAGCCCGCAGAACATGTGCACGTTCACAAACTGAAACAATGACGTCATATTTTACGTCATCAAACAGTTAACTGTAAAAGTGAAAGTAGGTTGTCAGCACGAATCGCTTTATTTTTATTATGAGAGCTTAAGCGTATTTAGTACAAACACATTTTTGTTACTATTGAAATTTGAAGAAATAATACGACAAATTCATTCCGAAAAAAAAATGAAAATAAAACTTGCTTCTAGATTCTAGATACTGCTTTGAACACACAAACAGTAGACTCTAAACATCTCTGTACAGAACAGTAGAAGAGTACTGTAGACAAGAATTTCAACGAAAGAACTTCACAGTATTTGTTTTTTTTTAAATATGCTACTATTAGATCTACCAAGTGTATTAAAGACATTAATACACGTCAGAGTAGGGCCGGAAGGTGATAATCGGCCCTGAATGAATAATGGCCCTCGGGCTAAAGCCCTCGGGTCCATTATTCATTTTGCGGGCCGATTATCACCTTCCGGCCCTCTCCTGCCGTGTATTAACCTCTTAATCTACGAGCAAATTTAATATTTTTGTGTCCATTGTGCAGTAGATAAAAGTTTGTATTATTTTTCATCACACCACCTTATATTAACGATCATGATTTTATTATTGACTCAATCACAATGCATGTAGACATGAAGTAAATAACAAGATGTAAACAAATTGGACGATTTTTATATTATAATTATGTGTTATTTTACACTGTTCTTTCCATATTTAGCCTTGAAAAGTAAAACTTACACAAAACAAACTTTATTAATTAATCAAAATTATTGTAGCCAATACTTTTCTAAGACGATCATTGTTTGCTTAAAATATGCAACGTTTTTGTATACCGTATCACATAAACAGATTGGTCATTAACTACCAAACTTCATTATATTGTGAAAGTTCTATATTAGGTTTAAGATTTTTGTGAGCCTCATCACCTATGCTTTGGTTGCAAAGAGGGCATATTCTACTCCCTTTTCAAATTAAAAAAAAAATGATCATACATTTTATGGATTTACTGCTTGTGCTATTTTTTCAATTCCAAATTACTTTTCAAAATAGTTATTACAGTCCGATGTGCTTTCAACATCATCTATTTTTTTTATTACTGTCATACTTTCTGACTTTATACGATTTGATTTACATTTCATTTTCATTTATTTCATTTAATGCTATTTTTACACTCTTTTTCAAAATTTAAAATAGTCTTCTATCCAATTAACCAAAATATGAAGCGTGTGACATACTAGTAAACAAAACTATACCGATGTTGCCCGACTATAGGACTATAGGAAGCTATCAGTCACCACAGGGAAAATAACATATTCGCGTTGTTCTTCTGTTTAGTTTGCATCGCAACAGCAGGTGTCAAGTGCTGTGTGGCAGTCGTGAAATATTACCCAGTACTTCACTTCAGTGTTGTTATATTTTTGGTTCTTCGGGATCATTGAGTCCAGCACGAATACCGCTCAATCCGGTTTTAGCACATTTTCATTATCCTTCATGTACAACAGTCTCAATCAAACAGAGTCTGCAATTTTCATCTAATTTTTCTGTTTTAATGCTACCAAGGGATCACTTATTTCCATATGTTTGTAATGTATTTACTTATCATATGTTACGGATATAATATGGAAATCATAAAATGTTATGGAATAATACTTCACAGTGCCTAGATTTTCAGCGGAAAATTAAAACTAAAATAGAGAAAGACATAATCAGAAAGAAACAGATAATGTTGCGGGCTCATTTTGATTGAGCTTGTTCATGGACGGCAGCGGTAATTACATCCTACCGTCCACGCCACCTATCACCGCCTAGCAGAATATTTGCAAGTTTTTAGATCCTGTGATACTGCACTACTATCTATTAGACCGATCAAAACTAGACATCATATTGACCATAGCTTTAAAGATTAGCAATTCTGATGTACTGACATTTGATTAAAGTAGAGTTAAATGAAATACCTTATTAAAAAAATATTTATTTATTTACCAAGTTGCATGCTAGGGATGTGGACGGTCATTTTTGGCCACTGCCGTAACGAAAAGTCTCGATATAGCCTAGCCTACAACATTTTCAATTGTTTACAGTTATTTTGAGACATATTCTGAGCTTGTGTATGCATGCATTTTTTTTTTCCAACTGCAGGGCATCTTATATTAACAAAAACAACACTCATCAAATTGCTCTGCATGTTCTACAAAGGACCGTGAATCGCATATTTCAAGTTTATTGTCACTATATTCTTACAAAGACGCACAAGGCGGGATGTGCCTTTTGGAAACCTCAGTCCTAAGTTCATATAAAACCTTAAAGTGCATTAATTAATTTACTTCGAAAAAATCAACCAATTTTGAAAATTATCTCTGAACATTATGTACTAGATGGTGAACTATCAATAAAGGTCATAAATCAAGATCATTGCCATACCGACCTTTGAAGACATCCGGTACGGTGATTAATGGTGTATAATAAATATAACTTTTAAGATATTAAAAAAAAAACTCATTAAAACTTTGGTATGAAAATGTAAATAGTTCATTAGAGTTTATACGCAGACAACTTTTGAATTTACTTCGAAGATTGTTTTCTCCTGTCACTACGTGCGTTAATGTACGTTAAAATACGGGTATATTTATTGCTTAATATGCAATAATACGAAATCACGTTGTCACTTGTTTATCATTTCGTCTTAAGCATGTTAAAATTTATTAATATGTGATCATTATCACGTGAACACTTTAAACAGCCATAAACAATGTGCCTTATCTTAACGAGCACCTGCACGCAACTGTTATAGTGAAGGTGCCCTCATCGGGGGTTTGATAGACTAATATTGCCCCTAAAGAATGGATTGAGAAGAATGTACAAAATGTATCACAATAGAATATTCAATATAAAAAGCCTTATATAAGTTATGAAAACCAAGTCAGGCAATTTTTATGTTCAAAGTTGTTTTAAAGTTTAACAGATTTAAAACATAAATAAATACATGTTGCATGTATCAATGTTTATTCTGATTTAACTAATCATAATTAAGATACTTCAAATAACGTGTCTGACATAAAATCATGAAAGGTTATCGCTGCCGGGGTTTCACACAAGTGACATATTATTTCGGTTTATAATCGGAGTCATACAAACGGATCCTGCACCATTTTTAACTTTGTTTCCCGACTTTTGTCGGGTTTTTTTTTTTGCCAAAACTGTGATGTTTGGACAAGTTTCTTTTCAAGTCTTTAATTCTTGGAAAGGAAGTGATATGTTTTAACAAGTATATACAGGTCATGCATTTCGCCGTCAACACTTATCATTGCATCATCTTTCGGCAAAACACAAAGTAGTTTGACGCGTACCTATTTTCGTCCAGTACTTTATAGTTCGTAATTCTGTTTTAAACACTCCATATCACAATATCCTTCGGAAAGAACGAGATGTCTTCAGGTAAACTTTTATCTTAGATTTATTTCATTCAAGTTTTTGTTTGCTTTTTTCTTTTTAAAGTTTAGATTTTCAAACTTAATTTAAACACAATATAAGAAATATTGCAAATGTCATTGATTTAATTCAAGTATGGTTGGCGGGTTTGTCATATGCCTGTTAAAGAGGTAATTGTAAAAGAAATGATAAATGAATGAAATGAAAAGAAATGATTTTTAATACTTTCAAAGAATGAATCATGTGGGTCACGTTTTGATAAAGAGTTATATTTCAAAATGCTAGATGTTCTTAGTACTCTTTTAGTTGTACATATGTAATGACAGTAATAATCGTTATATTCTATTTAGGTTTAAAAGTATATTTTAAAATTAACAAATTAGATAAAATTACTAATTTGCCTTATATAATTAAAAACGCTATTTTGAATTTGACGTAACATTTGACCTAACGTTACGTCATTTCCCTCGTTTTGTCTGAATATATTTGTATGTATTATAAATGCCGCTGAAGAAGGCCGAATGGCCGAATGCTGCAGAAAATTCAAAATAGCGTTTTTAACAAATTAATAATATAAGTAGACACGAATTATTTTGATAAAGTTGTCACTTACAATAAGTTCATCGTTAATTGAACCTAAAATGCTATCTTTATTGATTTTTCTATACTTCTTTATTTTTTATTAATTCTTTTTTGTTGTGTTTTTATTTCATTTTATTTTATTTTATTCATTTTATTTACTTATTTTATTTATTTATTTATTTATTTATTTCCTATTTTTATATTAATTAATTGTATTAGTTAATTAATTAATTAATAATTAATTGACTCTTTGGTAATGCAAAAGAGTTACATTTTGCAAAACAGTAACAGCACACCAAAAAAAAATATATATATATAAAAAAATAAATAAAACAGATAAATTAATAAATAAATAAATATAAAATAAAATTAAATTAAATTAAATTAAATTAAATTAATGAAATTAAATTTATTTATTTATTTATTTATTTATTTATTTATTTATTTATTTATTTATTTTATTTTATATTTATTTAACTATTTTATTTATTTATTTATTTATTTATTTATTTATTTATTTTTGGTGAGCTGTTACTGTTTGCAAAAAGTAACTCTTTGGCATTACCTGAACCATCTGTTGTTGTTGTTTTGTTTTTTTTCATTCTGGCAACAAGTACAATTAAAGTGAGATTCTATTTTGTATTGATATCAAAAATTCCTTTTTGTTTACATTTTATACCTTAATTACAAAATAAAATCTCATTTTCTATCAACTTAATCCATTATTACTTACATTATAAAACATGTATTTGCCCTTTCTACACTCATTTCTGAGACATACCTTGCCTTTAAATCTAAACCTGCAATTTTTTTTTATTGTTGTTATTATTAAATTGCTCTCAACGATATTTTTGTCTTGAATGTGAATGTTTTAAATACTTTTTGCAGACAAGTTTTTTGTTTATGTACTCCTTGTTAAAAAGTACTAAACATACGGTACGTGGTAAGAAATAGAAGTTTCTGGAATTTGTCTATTTGGTGTGCTATTGGATGTGCTTTAAAATAACTCGGCATGTAGAGGCTTATAAAAAAAACGCATGTAAATATAAGTACCGTTTGTTTTAACTTTATTCTTCATTTTGTTCGCGGTAATGAAGCTTATACATTGATTTTATGATGACAATGTAATAATTTGTATCAATGTAATGGCATCTATAATGCGTTATGAATCGAATTTTAGACTTCAGTAAAATGAATAATGTTATAATGTCTTCTTGATTAACAATGATTTCAAAACTTTAATATTTGTTCACTTTGAAATAAAATACAGGACCATATTAATTACCATTTTGTCACAATTGTCTCTTAGCTGTGAATGGATAAACTAATACAAAATATCTTACACTATCGCATGAAATTATGACCTTATTTGTGGTAACGATTAAATTGTAGGTTAGGGAAACATACTTTTTGTAATGGCTGTCCAACGTTTATGATAATTTCGGTTTGTAATATTTATATTTTTGTATAGAATGATTGTAATTCAATGTGTAACTATTAATTTATGGCAATTAATTTAATTTCTTTATAGAAATCTACACGTCTGAGAGTGTTGGGTCCGATGAGGGCGGTGATGGCAGCGCCGTTAAACCGTATAAAACTGTGCTACAGGTACGTATTGCATCTTAATAATGTAAAAGTCGCCTCATACACTCAGAGGCACTTATAACCCGACACTGACATTTTTCGGTATCGGACTTTGTTGAAATTTGGACCATACCAAATCCAATATGTCATAACTTACTTCTAAGAATTTTATATTAGGTTACACGCAGATTTAATGCGATTCAGAGACTGTTCATTTTGTTCCGATTTTTACTGTCTTTCTGTGTTTGTTTTTTTTCATTTTACAGTAGTCTATTTGTTTTGTTATTTTATTTATTTTTTCCTGTCAATGGATTGTTAATTAAATTCTAAGTAGTAAGAATGATGTGTTGAAATTTGCATAGTCCAAATTTGAAGAAAATCCTTCGAGAAATGACGCTACTATTTTATATATCTTTATCTTAAAGCATTCCTCGTTCGTTATGTATTTAAACGAATAAGATTACTTTTTTTTACTTTAAATCAAGCAGATAAATACTGTCAGGGCAACATTTTTCAAACTTCAAGGGAATTCTGTTCAAGCATTAATTTCTGATTAAGGCTTTTTAGTCTTTAATTTCTAGTAAATATACAAGTCATACAAAGTCATTTTACACTTTGTTTTTAAAATATCGGGAATGAAAATGTGCTCAGACTCCCAGAAGTTTGTTTCTTTGAAGTTTTGATAAATAAAAACTAAATCAGATTGCTTTCGGAAAGTTTAAGTTTTGGATATCCCGTTTTTACATGGATATTTTTTTAGGAAGTCGGTAAGCTTCAAAATGATTCATTGAATTATTTTTAAATAAAGTTTCCGTACGGATAAAATGATGAATTGTACTGTAAAAACATTTTCTGGTGACTGTTATTGAAATTAAATCGGGAGTAACTGTCAGCCACCCTGTTTAGCCATTAAATGAGCTTTTAGGTTTATGGCGCAATCATTCACAGTTACAGATACGCAGATACTCTGTAATGCGCAAATATTATGCTATCCGAATGTTTTTCTGTGTGTAGAAAATAATTACATGTAGAACGAGCTACAACTTTCACATTTTAGACCTTTTAATGTTGAATATTTTTATTTTTATTTTCTTATATTTTTATTTAGTAAACAACATGTTAATGGATTTTGTCCAAAATTTATGTAACATTTTAACTTGAAAACGATGGAGAAAACCCCTAAATTTGTACAGTACAATTATATTATTATTAATTACAATTTCACATTACTTCATATAAATAAGTCATGCAACCTAGACTAGATAAAGATTGTTGTGTTGTTGTGTGTATATAATGGACATTAAAATAACACTATTGTTATCTGCAATTTGTTGAGATAAAAAATATGAGATGAAACATGATTTTAAGATGGGATTAAAACTTTACAGGCTATGAGACATGCAGGACAAGAACCCTTTCCAACCATCTACGTGGACGGGAAAGAAGGAGCAGCTGTAAGTATTCTAGTCAAAAGAACTAAAGAAAACTTGTTTTTCGTTTTCTTAATTTCAAAGACAAGTTCATGAAGGTTGTGTAGTTTTCTTTTTTTTCACTTTCATGCAAGATAATTTCTATGACAAAAATAGAAACAGATTTGGTATCATATAATGCTCTTTTACAATGTGTTTTCTAATGAGCTTTGTACTCGTGTAAGTGTGACGAGTATAAAACATATCAGACTGATTAATTCCTCAATGTTGAATAAGATAAAATTTTAGTGTGATGTTTCAACGATTCTTTTAACTGTCTAATTTCATTGTTACACTGTGCAGTAAATGTACATTTAAGTAACAGTGTATACAAATTCTAAACAATTGTGAATGAATAACTAGTTTGTTTGATTTCCAAGTACTGTTATTTCAATTAAATATAGGAGAACGATGCAATGTTTTATCTATAGAAATATGAGCATCAATATTATAAACAAAGTGAATGTTCCTTATGAAAGCTAAAACGTTTTACTTATAATACAAATAGTATTCTTGAAATGAATTTACTGAAAGAATCATGTTCTATGACTAGAAATATGAAGAAGCCACCAAGTCACAAATAAAGAAGTGGCAAAAGGTCTGGCTGAGAGAGAGCAACAAACAAGTTGACAGCCAGGAAAAAGATGTAAGTTTTTTTTCCATCTTTAATTCACTTTACTTCTTATTAAGCTTCAGGCTTTTTATATATTTCCATTGTAACGAAATATTGTATTTAGCTCATATGAAAGAATCGTATTGCGACTCCTTTGGACCAGCGGTATTTAGCTAAATACTTACCATTTTGATTTCTGCCATTTCGGTTTCAGACTTAGAATCGATATTTACATTTAGAAACATTTTATTACAGTTAATACATCGAATTCATATCCAAATGAATTATACTGGTGCTGTTTCTCATTTGAAATTGCAAGTTGATAGTTGTTAAATGCTTAACGAAAAGACATTTAGACGGTTAAATTATCAAATGCAAATGTACAATATATTTCCCTTTTTGCACATTTCGGGATAGTTTCAAAGATTCATCTTTTAAAATAATTCTATATGTTTTTGACAAGATAAAAGATTCGTGTAAATTATAAATCTTTCAGAGACACTCGTCTTAATTTTGTGATTTAATGGATGTGTGTCATATGTTATATTTTAGAAGATATTTTTTTTTGTTATTTTTGTTAGACCTTACAATATCTCCGTGTTTTCACACGTAATTAATCAGTAAATACGCAGGTCAAGCCTTCTATATAACAACACATTTGCATGTGCATAGAACATGTGCAAAAGATCTTGTAAACTAGTCGATATTTACTTATAAATAAATAAAAAGTTGGGATTTTTAATGCCGATATACTAATTTTAAAATGTGTTACGATTCATTTGAAATACTGCAATCCTATTGGTAAAAAATATTTCAAACACCAAGCTTGATCATAAATGCAAACTAAGTTGAATTACTGAAACATTTTATAGGCTGATGTACAGCGAAGGGAAAAGAATTTAGAAGAAGCAAGGAAGATAACTATTACTAACGATACAAGTCTGCCAGTCCCCAAGCAGGTAAAGTATACGATTTTAATGTGATATCGAAACAATCTCTATTAAAATTATGTGTGCACTGTTGTTCCTAGTTGGCGATTGAATTTTAGTGGCTTCGCTAACTTGTATAGTGATCTTTCTTTTGACAACTGTTTGGCGAATGAATCCCAGTGGCTTTCGTTTCTTATTATTTATTTATGGTTGTTCACAAGTTCAAGCGTCATTGTTCAGGTCGTATAGACATTTTGCAGCTTATTCTTGCTGTTAACAAAACTGCCGTGACATTCTTTATTTTAAAGGCAATCTAACAGTTGCCTCACTGCTGAGCAGCATTGCAAACCATCCTCATATAAAAGAAAACAATGCATTCAGCCGGATTAAGTAACGAGTAAATTGATTTGAAGTCAATCATCTCATCTACTCAGTTTTGCTGCCGACGGTCCATTCAGAACATTTTCATTAAAATAAGTTATTTTAATAATACAGTTTATGTCTAAATAAAGAATATCAAAATACCTATGAATGTATTTATATATAAATGTGAGTATGCATATAAACGAACTAAATAGTATGATTCTTATATAGATTAAAATACGTGATGCTGTAAACACCCGGGATATCCGTGTGAAGATCTATGGTTGGGTTCACCGTCTTAGAAGACAGGGCAAGACACTTATGTTTGTCGTTATCAGAGATGGCACGGGCTTTCTTCAATGCATTTTGACAGATCTCCTGGTACTGATTAAATATTATAAATAATTATCCTTTTCAATTCTTATAGTTCAGTAGTGGCATATGTTTGAAAATCCATAAATATTGAAATAAATATTACATCAATTTTCTCGTAAAGCACATTTCTTTAAATAATTATCTGATACTCGACATAAAAGAACATAATTGTTGATGGGTAAACCATCAAATCATCAAGATATAACGATATGCATAACCCTGTGGGATATTTTAGTCTCTTTCTCTTCTTTAAATAAAAATATTATTCAAAGGTGGTTATTTATAGATAAGCAATTTAAGATTAACAATAACAATTGCAAAATGCTTAATAGAATTATATTGAAGTCATTAATAATTTACCGCGCCTGTATGATAATCTTAAATCAGTGAATGTGTCTGTTCTTTATTCAGTGCCAAACTTACGATGCCGTCACCTTAGCTACAGAGGCTGCCATTTGTGTATATGGTGTCATTAAAAAGTTACCAGAAGGAAAAAAGGTAATCTCAAACAGTAGATGATGTATGCATTCATCATAATTTTAATTGTATCTATAGAAACCTGAAAGTAAAATAAATATAAATATAAAACAGAAACACAAATACTACAGAGCGTTTGATACAACTTTGAAAATAATGTCCGGCGCTTTTCATACAATCAAACCAGATGCGCAAATGCCAGCACACAAGCCTGTTCTGTTAGTAGATTAATTTCAAGGTGACCATTAAAAGAATGAGGATAATTCTTAAACAAATTTTGCTTTTATCGAAACGCTATTTGCATGCAAAATATTCTCCATAATTGTGTAAAGATGACAAATTTTACATTAAACTATTTTGGCAATTGGAGTTTGTTGAACGCTGTTTATTTTCTGACAATTGTATAAAGGCCGAAGGAGACCACGAGATGACTGTGGACTATTGGGAGTTGATCGGAGCCTCTCCAGCAGGTGGCGCAGACAATTTACTAAATGAGGAGGCACATGTTGATGTACAGCTAGACAATAGACATATCATGATCAGAGGAGAAAACGTGAGTACATACCTTCTTTAATACACTGCTCGGTCATGTAGAAAGAAATAAATTGAAAATATGCATATTCGTATCCACCATCTTGATTATTTTGTACTTGTGTAATAAAAAAACAAATCCTAGAGCATTGCAAGGTTCAAATTCACGATCCTTTGATCGAGTCACTGACAGGAGCATTTTATCCGTTAGAAATATCTGTCAAAATGTTTTGTTGAATCTTTGGAAAAAAACCGTTTCTTCGTATATTTAGCCTGTCATTGATATGTAAGTGCAGTATAGACATTTAAAAAACTAAACAAAAACCTACACTTTTATCATTTTTATTTTCGTTTCCAATTTTTACACCATTCACAATTATACATTTTGAACAAAACATGAGTATCATTATGGTTTAATATATTTATTTTAGGCATTCTTTTTTCATTTTTATTTCCCTTTTTAGACATCTAAAGTTTTAAAAATGAGATCTACAGTGATGCATTGTTTCCGGGAACATTACTTCAGTCGTGGATATTTCGAGGTTACAGCCCCAACACTTGTTCAGACTCAGGTAGAAGGAGGTTCCACGTTATTCAAGCTCGATTTCTTCGGCGAGCAGGTACGTATGACTATCGCCGTCTATTTTATGGTGGACCTTTGAACAATGTTAACGCTTCATGGAGTGTAATTATATTATTGGTAATAAAAAAAATGACAGGTTATATTGCTCTTTATAAGCGGTTGTTTGCATAAATACAAACCGAGGAAAATTGAATATCTTGCATCGTGAATAAAGATTATATAAACGTCATGATTATACAATGTAAAATGACGTTACAAACGTGAAGTATGATAACCATTATTATTTCGAGTTAAACGTCAGTGAACTAAATTGCTTTAGTGTCGAGGAGTAGTATCATATGGCAAACTTCCAGTATTCCTCACTTGAATACTGTTGAATCCCCCTTAGGATATGTGGCCTGCTTTTTAAATTTGTCTTTTGACGTCTTATCTGTTATATGCAGGCTTCATAACCTCTGATCCCCTTTCGAAATTCCATTTTATTTAGTTCCGCCCATTGTTTCCTCGTTTAGGGCACACGCATTTTTTTTATTTGGGGACCATATGCCGCTTTTCATGGAATGGCACTTACGTGTCACATTGAAGGTTCCATGATAACCGCCATATGAATACATCTGCGGATGTTTCAAAATTCAAAATTGTACCAGTTCAAAGTAAATGTTGAATTCTGCTTAAGCCGGTGCTAAGGGGCGTGGACGGTAGTTTGCATTTAACAGTACCGTCCATGAACAGGCTCAATCAAACCGAGCCTGCAACATTTTCAATTATGCCGTGTTGGGCCTTCTTTAGGGATTATTATTTTCTCTATTTTGTCTTGTAGCAACACTGTTAATGTTAGCCGAGATGACGATAAGAGGCAGTCATTTGGTATTTAATCACCGTGTATATCCCAGCAAATTCTTATTCATTCCCATTCTTTTGTGCACTTCTGTGTTACAGGCGTATTTGACCCAGTCCTCACAGTTGTACCTTGAGACAGCTATCCCAGCAATGGGAGACGTTTTCTGTATTGCGAGTTCATTCAGAGCTGAACAATCCAGGACCAGACGACATTTGGCTGAGTATGTTATTGTATAGATACTTGTTTAAGGGGAGGAAATATTTTCACTGATGGAGACTTTATTGTACATGTATAATAAAGTCTCCATCAGTGAAAGTATAGATACTTTTTAAAGGGAGAAAATATAGGAGGGGCTTAAGTGTAATACTTTCACTGATGACGCCTCTACTGTACATATATTAGGAATATCAAAAGGAACCCAACTAACATAATAGTGTTATAGGCGACTGTCTCTCAACAAAGGAAATAGAGTTTCTAGTTATTTTTTTGGATCACGACCATATTTTCTCACATAACCCTAGCTTTTGTTAGTTCAAGGAAGTAGAAAGTCCGGCCAGCCTTCCTCACAATTGAGCTGAAATAAATAAAATTGAAACTAAACTATAATTTGTTTCAGATATACACATATTGAAGCCGAGTGTTCGTTCATATCTTTTGATGATCTGTTAGACAGACTGGAAGATTTAATCTGCGATGTTGTGGACAGGATATTAAAATCTCCGTTGGGACACATAGTGTATGAACTCAACCCGGTAATTTAAAGCTATTTGCTCTTTTTGGCAATTTTGTTTGTCGTACAATTTCTGTTGTGAATTTTATAACTATAGGGTACTGGTTGATTTATTTCATTTGGTTCGATGCCGTTGAAAATGCAGATAATGCAGATATCTCATAGAATATGTCGAAGTAGTGGGTAATAAATATTGGCCGTACAGTCAAATTCCTCTGAATCACCTCTGAATGCAGAAGTCTATACATGTACTAAACTTGAGTTTCAAAAACGTGTTAATTGCTTACTACTCGTATATATATTAAAAATGACGACTTCGACAAAGAATTTTGTATTGTATTGTATTGTATTGCCAGTACAATTCAAAACAAAGGTTTGCTCAACTATCATCAGAACTCATTAGCAACGCTATTGTGTTTAAAATTTCAGGATTTCAAACCTCCGAAAAGGCCGTTCAGAAGAATGGAATACACTGACGCCCTGAAATATTTGAAAGAAAACAACATAACAAAAGATAATGGATCTTTCTATGAATTCGGTGACGTAAGTGTCCGTACACTAGTACATGTTTGAACAATATTCTAAAATAGTGCTCATGGGTTCAAAGGTTAGAGGTCTTATGCTGTTCTCTTGAAATGCATTAATTTTTCTTTAAATGTGGATGCTATGCATTGCTGGTTAACTGAAACTAAGTTTATGGTTTTGGAATAATTACCCGGTATTCGTGGACAAGGGTCCGATGGAAGATGAAGTTTTTCTGTTATAATTTGGCTGAATAAAGACGATTAAAAACTGATACCTTTTACATGTATATATTTAAGGACATACCTGAAGCACCAGAAAGAAAGATGACTGATGCGATTAACGAGCCAATATTTCTGTGCAAGTTTCCTGCAGAAATAAAATCATTCTACATGCCTAGATGCAAGGAAGACAGACGACTTACTGAGTCGGTAAGGTTTAAGATGAATATATTGTTTCTACAATTTCATTCCTGTACAAGTGTTACAAAATCAGGTAGAATGTTAATGTTTCAAAATAAGGAAGAATTATTTTGATTTTATAATTAATTTGGATTGACGTGATCTGTAACATTGACTTTCACCTTCCTTCATTTGTGAGATTTATAGACGCGGCGAAAATATTAATTATGACGGTTTAACACTTGTGCTGATGCAACCAATGGAAACGAAAGCAATAAGTCTTTACCAGCAGTGTATAGCAAGGCCAGACTGCACATCTGTGCAGTCAACCATTCTCTAACTGTTGGCAGGCCATTTTTTCTTCTTTGCTATGGAAGGAATCCATATAGAACTTTATTCCTAGACCAACGTGTGAAAAAAAACAAATCTTTACATAAGCCAGATGGGTAACTTAGAAAGGTGTTTAATGAACAAGTTGTTTCTCGAATTAAGGAGCTTGATATCGTAAAATCTAGCTGCTCGCCAATATTGAATATTTTATTGCTTGAAATTCTTTCAAAGAGCTAGACATTTTCAGGTTGACCTGTTGCTTCCAAATGTTGGCGAGATTGTGGGAGGTTCAATGAGGGTGTGGCAGTACGACGAATTGAAGGAAGGTTTTGAACGGGAAGGAATAGACCCGACAAACTATTACTGGTACACAGACCAGGTTAGATTGACTTTTTTCCCTTTTAATCTTAAATTTCATTTAATATCAGTTTTTATTCAAACATTTAATTATTTACTTATATAATTATTTTGTCATAATTTATTACTACCGCTGTAAAAAAAGCAAATACATGTAAAAAGAAACAAGCTTATATAACTATTTAGTCAGGATGTCAGGATATACTAGTATAATCATCGTTATTACATTAATTACATTTCTTTCTTTTTTTATAAAAGAGAAAATATGGAACATGTCCACACGGTGGTTATGGTCTCGGTTTGGAACGGTTTTTATGCTGGATTCTGCATAGACACCACATTCGTGAAGTGTGCCTTTACCCAAGATTCGTCGACCGCTGTAGACCTTGAGATAATCAGTGTGAAATGAACAGAAATACATAACTAAAGAGTGCCTAAAAACATATTCTAGACTTATATTGCGTTTTATATGTTTAATGGTGTTTTCATTGTTTTGTTGTTTGTCGTTGATTTGCTGTTGTATTGTGCGTTTTTGGATTTTTTTGTCTTATGTGCCATTTGGCTTTGTGTGTTGTACAATAAATGCGTATATTATGGTTCTAATATAATATGATGTCATATTTATTGTAAGTTAATAAAATCTGAATTATACTATTTTTTGAAAAGTGTTTGTTCTTAATGTTTTATAAGTCTGATAGAATATTTGACAACATATTTATTCAACTAATTCTTTCTAAACTGTCACCAACATAGTGATTTTGAAAATAAAAAAAAAACGCTCTGTATATGAATAACAATGTTGTCTTTTTCTTTACTGTAATTTAACATATTTTATACCATACATGTGTTTTCTTTATACAAATTGTTTTAACATATTTCATGTTCACTTGATGTTTTATAGCGAAAATTGTTTTGAACAAATTAAACTGATTCTACAATGTTCATGTAATTTTGTTGTTATCCATCCAAATTGCTGCCGGTGGATTTCTCCCTTTTCCAGAGATTTTTTCTTAAATCATATAGGTCTTAATTTGTGTCATAGAATCAATTTACAGCTAACATTTTGTGTAGGTTTATTTTTTTATTTATATGAAATAAACATAATGATCGTTATAAAAATTTTGTTTTGTTTATTTTTGTCAGTCTACATCAATACTATTTTAGTCATCAAGATTGTAAACTGTGCAATTTGATATAAATAAGGGACGTAACAGAACAGCACATGGATTATGACCCACCATGCCGTTATTAATATAGTAAGTCATGTCAGTTTTAATTAAAGATTTACACAGCAGTTCAATATTTGGCTCTGGATAGAACAGTCTTGGTGAAAAGGGTACCATAACACAAAAGACATAAGTGATACTGCCATTGCAATATCCCCTTCAAACTTTAGTGGTATTTGATAAACATATGATACCGATACATACATGTACAAGCTTGCAGGCACATCTGTACGCACACCATACCATACCATTCCACACCATACTATACTGTACCATGCTATACATTATTATTATTATTATTATTATTATTATTATTATTATTATTATTATTATTATTATTATAATTACAACTACTACTACGACTACTACTTATTATGCCGGCTCGCCACGGCGAGCCGGTATTACGTTAGGATTTTACTGAGAAACAACCTAAAACGCCGAATCCATCCAAAAATTTAATCGAAGCTTGGCTTCCAGCTTTCTACAAAATTAATTTATCTGTCAGGGCTGGAATCCAAAATTATTTAGCCAATCTACTTATTATTATTATTAAAATGTGTATGGGTGTAAGTTCTATGAATGAAGACCTCAGAAAATGTTTATGTGCAAATTAAAGCGTCTCATCTTGATCAAACTTAAGTCCGATCAGGTTAATATTCACCTTTACATTAACGCCGAGACCTCATAATTATAATTACTAAAGTAACGTGACATTGTCTGTAAAGTTTGTTTTAATGCATTGAAAATTAGTATTGAAAATGTATTGTAATGTATTGCAATGTATTATCACACTATGTATGATTATGATTATGTACTATGTACAAGTCAAAATAAAATAATGTTCTGTTCTGTTCCTCATCAGATGACATGACTAGCGCTTCATGGTGCGATCGAAAATTATTCAAAGACATTGCTAGTTTAAGTGGGCTTTAATGATCAAGATATTTAGTCGCCTTTATATTGGCGTTTCTGCTTCACCTTATGTTATTGTTTAAGCTTCATACAATCATGTATTTTAGACTATAGACACAGCGCATACTTTATTTATTCTTAATTTATTTACTTGTAATTTATTAATTAATTTATTTATATTCTTACCTCCGTGGCCGAATGGTTAAGGTCGCCTACTTCAAATAACTTGACCCTCATCACTGTGAACAATGACTGAAGGGTAAGGTTAACCATTATTTACGCCTGCGGATGTTTTTAAATTCAAAATTTCACCATTTTTATATTTGAAGTTGAATTCTTTTTAAGCTGGTGCTAGGGGGCGGGGACGGTAGATTGCACTCGACAGTAACGTCCATGCACATGCTCGATCAAACCGAGCCTGCAACATTTTCAATGTTGCAGTTTCTTTAGGTATTCCTATTTTCTCTATTTTAATATTATATCATGTTAGGAAGCTACCAAACTAGCTTACAGAAGGTTGGCGGTTCTATTCAGGTGTCCGCTCGTGCCTGAAATAAAGCATAAGGGGCACTTGAGGTCGTCCTCTGTAATGTCATCGTATGAAATTTACAGTGTTTTGTGACTAATTTAAATCAAACAACCAACTATAGCAAATAAATCATACACATTTTGATAGCATACTTGAAAGTTTAAATGAAAAGTGACGTTACAAAAAATGGTAACATTTAGGGACCAAGAAACACTTTTTTGAGGTTACCATGTCTGAGAATGCAAAATGTAAAATACATATTAGATTAAATAGACAAAGGATTATTTTTGATTTTCAATCGGCCTTATATATACATTGATCTCTTCGAGTATGATCATAAAATCAATGTGACATTTAATTGCCCATCATTTATGAGAACTGGCTTATTGTTGCTTATATAAATTTGGCAAAAAAAATTTAAAACAAGATTTTTATTTTGTTTTTATAAATATAATCTAGATATCAATTTAGATAATATGAAATTAAATTATGAGGATATGCTCTTTCTAGTGAGAGAGAACCTTTCCGCGGAAAATTACCCTTTCAGATAACATACCGGTTATTGTTTTATACCTGACCCATTTTGCAAGCGCCCAATAACTAGGAACACCCGAAATCGAATCGTTTTGATAAATCATGAATCCTTTGACGTAATGACAAGATTATAACATAAGCTGAGCTTATTTTAACTTTATGTTATTCATTTATCTTATTCTGTATTTGTTTATTATTTTACATCAAAATTTGAAGGATTTGACGTTATCTTGATTCGTCCCAAAACGGCTCGACCCACACTCCACTTTCACTTTACTTCAGTGACATTGTCATGCCTAAATAGCTATCGTAAACATATATCTTATAGTTTAAATCTAATATTAGCAATTTAAACCCACATGTCTTACTCTAGTTTTGTTAATGATCATTATGATGAAGTTTAGAAGACCCCAAAATATAAACAATATTTATATGCTTGCTTAATGGGGACTGTTGCTTCCACACCCCTGCTGTTTTACATATTTATTTATTTTAACTTAATCAAACCTGAGAATGGCACATTCTATAAATTACTGATACAAATGCAAAATGCCATGTTTTCTGCAGCCCTTTGAATGGCCATGTACCTAATAGTTATTTCTTTGATCAGTTTAGAATTTGTTTATGAGTATGACCTTCAATGATAAATGATTGTTTCTTTCATGTTTACAGAAATGTTAAGAATTTACAGAAATTGAACCAGAGAGAGTTGGAGCTTGGTCTTACAAATAAGAAGTCATGGCATGACCAGTATAAAGATAGTGCATGGATATTTGTTGGTGGTTTACCGTATGATCTCACAGAAGGTGATATTGTCTGTGTTTTCTCACAGTAAGTAGATTTACCGTAATTATTTCCCTTTTGGTATTTAGTTTATTAGTTCATTTGAGTAGGAAGCCACCGGTATATAAGCTTATAGACACACTTCCAAATCTGTTCCTGGAACCAACCAGTACTGAGCAATGATTGTAAAGTTGCTTGCTCTGCAAGGAACCAACGACTTGCCCCTTACAGAGTTTGAACCAATGTAAATAGCAATCATTTGATTACTAGTCTGATGCGTTAACTACTCGGCCATGCTGCTACTCAATTTCCCTTTTAAGTTAGAGAGATATATTGATTAGATGCAGATGAATTTATGTGGCTTTTGTTTGTTACTGATGAATGTATACAGATTTTTGGCATGTATTGAAATCAAACTGATTTTGAAGTAATAAGTAAGCTACCCAAATATTCCATTACATGTATATTAAATGTGAAAACGAAATTATTTAACATATAATTTGATGTTGTCAAAGATTGTATGATGCCAAAATACTCCCAATATATTTATATGTACATTGTAAAATATTTATATTGACCTTTATGCTGTTATATTTTACACAGGTATGGAGAGTTGGTAAATATAAATCTTGTGCGAGATAAAAAGTCAGGCAAATCTAAAGGGTTTTGTTTCATGTGTTATGAAGATCAAAGAAGTACCATATTAGCTGTGGACAATTTTAATGGAATCAAGGTTTGTGATGATTTTTACGTAATTATGTATTTTTTCTTTTATGCCTTGAAATGGGAATTGCAGTATGGTAACCATAAAAAAAATGGGAAAATTCAAGTTACTTATCAAAATACTCTTTTCTTTAAAATGATAATACACATGTCACGCCGATGTGATAGGCATACTGTGATACATGTATATATTTTTCTAAGTAAGAGAATGATTATTTATTGCAATGTTAGATTAACAAAGATCTTCTTTGCATTCACATTGTCAAAACTTTGTATCACACACGGTTGCCAAGCAACACTATATAGAGTATACTGTGAGTAGCAGCCAAGCTATGAACAGCAGGCTCTTTTACATCTCCCGTTCAATGGCTGCAGTGCATATATTTGACTGTATGACTTATGCTTTCAATTTTTACTCTTCAGTCATATTCCAGTGATGGTTGTGTGTAATAGTTTTGTTCTATGTTCCTATCTCTGAAATTTTGATGATAACTGGGAAAATGTTTTGCTTGTAAAATTAGAACCTCTAAAAGAAAGTGACAAAAAATTAAGAAAACATGTACGACCCTTCAAATTTGTTATATCATTTAATGAATTTTCAAAATTGCTTCAGTTGTTGGGTAGAACACTGCGTGTGGACCATGTCGAGGAATATCGGAAGCCAAAAGAACATGGTGATGAAGATGAAGTCACTATGAAATTGCGAACAGAGGGTATTGCTCCGCAGGTACCTCAGTCACCAGAGCATGTCTCAAGTGAAGAGGAACCACTTCAGGTCAAGGTCAAAGCAAAAAAAGGTAACCAATTTTTGTTGTTGTTTTTTTGTATCTGAAGATTTAGTTTTTAATGGGATACTTCGGTAAATTGCTTGGTAACCAGAAACGTTTGTGCTTGCAGTATTTTCTAAATTTGTTAAGCATTGTCTAATTGCGTATTTTTAGCATCTCCATGGTTATAGTCCTTTAGTTCAAATCACGTTCACCTTAATGAATTCATATGAAAAAATCATTTCAAAGACTTTAAATAGTTTCTTAGCTAGGTTATAGATGGTTGATAGTTCTATGTCTCTTTGTCTGTGAGTAAATTACAGGGACAAATTATGCCAACTATGGATTGTTGAAAAATAACAAATTTAATGTGTACCCTACGGTAAATTAATTTAGTGTGTAATGTTTAAAGCTGCCTTCAGCTTTTCTAATGGTTAAATATGTTAATTTTAGAGAAATCATTTCATGTAATTCTCAAATCAAAATAATTAAGGTGGAAAGTGAAATTTGCTGCCAATTGAATACATAAACAATAAGGAAACCTTTCGGTACCCTTAATATACCAGTCTGCTCTATATATGTAAATAAGTAAAGCAGATATCCTCTATTTTCAAAAACAAACATCACTGTCATTTTAAAAATAGCTTCAGAGATGCTTTGAAGATGGCTTAACAGTTTTATGATGCACTTTTCCAAGATAAACATATTGAAATACTTAGTTTTAAACAATAAAGGATTGTTTTGCCATCACAAAAGTAAAAGCTGAATGCCACTTTAAAGTCACAGAATACTCTGTATGTCTTACAGCAACTCATCAACATTACAGAAGGCCTTCAGGTGCCCTGTCCCCTTGTGCATTTTTTATATGAGCTGGTACCTTAGTAAAGCGACCAAGCTTAATATAACATACATGTATTAACTGCATAGCTTCCCTACATGAAAGAATCCAAAATTGTAGACAGGATTTGAATCAAATTTGAATTTGATAGGAAATTGTTTCAATGAGAAATAGTCCAGATATTGATAGAAAGTATACATCATTTAAAATTGTTTGAAAACATATACATGTATTACATAAAAACTATATTTTGTCTTTTGTAGTCCATGTGATGATTGAAATAGCTTTCATGTTTTATTATCAGAAAAGAAGATTAAAAAAGAAAAGAAAAGTAAAAAGAAGAAGAAAGCAGCAAAGAAAAGCTCAAGTTCTGAAAGTGATTCAGACTCTGAAACAGACTATAAATCAAAGAGAGTCAAAAAAGAACATTATGATTCTGAAACAGACTATAAAAAGTTTAATGTAAAAGTAAAAAAAGAAAAATATGACCCAGGGTATGAAAGAGTAGAGAGAATGAATGTCAGGCAAAAGCGAAGTCATTCCCCTGATGACAGGAATGACAGACGGAAATCTGCTAAATATAATAGTGATGAAAGTGAAAGATCTGGTGCACAGAGAGAAAGACATAGAGAATATGATGGTGAACGGAATCGGGAAACAAACTATAGGGATGAAACGAGGGATCGGGAACGTAACTACAGAGACGAATCAGATAACAGTAGACATCGGACGAGAGATTATGATGATGAGGACAGAGGTCGTGTTAGATATAGAGAGACAGATGAAAGATATTATGATAAAAGATCGGATAAAGACAGGAGAGATAGGGGAAGTGACAGATATGATAGGGGAAGTGATAAATATGATAGGGGAAGCGACAGATATGATAGTGGAAATGACAGGTATAGCAGACAAGATGATAGAAAACATTACGATAGAGATTATTCTGATAGAGGTAGAAACAGAGATTCTAGAAGATAGTGGGAACAGTTTTGTTTTAAGTAATAATGTTTTAACAACCGAAGAATCTGTAAAATTAATATGCCATACAGTGATGATTCTTAAAGAAAATGGTTTGCTCCAAGCTTTAATAACTTTTTATTTCACCTTAGAAGCTGGAACAAAAGAACCAGGATCTTTAAGTATTAGTAAGAATTAAATGTACATTAGAGATATTTTTGTATGACAGGCGTTTTACTAAATGACTTATTCTGACTGGTCATTAGACCTTGGTTCAGAAATGGTCCGATTTTGAAATTGTTAGCCCTTTGTTTAAATGTTTTTTGTTTTTTTTTAATGCGTTTATTTAAGGTCGCCGCCGGAAAGCCCATATGGGCGACCGTACACTCAAGTCGGGCCATCCTAGAGCGTCCCGACGAGATTTTTTCGTCGATTTTTTTCCAGCTTTATTGGTGGAGGAAGACCCCAGGTGCCCCTCCGGGCATTATTTCAGGCACGAGCGGGCACCTGGGTAGAACCACCGACCTTCCGTAAGCCAGCTGGATGGCTTCCTCACATGAAAGATTTTGACCCGAGTGAGGATCGAACCTACCTGTTTAAATGATCATGTTACTTGGTTTAAATAATCAGATTTTAAAGGGTTACAACAAACTTGGGCTTAAATGATCAGATTTTCAAGATCCTGTAACACAAATTTTTAATGGTTTTATTATATAAATATGATGCTCAAGTTAAGATTTGTCAATATTGTAAGTTCAAATAAGCATTATTTATAAAGATATTACCCAATTTAACATTTCATGTAAATAAAGGGAGGTAATTAGAACTTTATTTTCTATAAATTCTAAGTAAAATTTTCCAATAAGAAATGAATGCATGTTATTTATCTATTAAATATAATGTGCACAAATATTTGCAGTACAAATTTTACATATTCTTTGATATTTAAAAATTGTTTTATTTGCATAATTATATTGATATATAATTTTTTTGCAAGTGTGGTATACACACAGTGACAATATCAATCACAAAACATACAGGATCTTTTATCAAATGGTTAGACCTTGGTTTAAATAGTATAATTTTGAATTAGATGACCAGATTTTAAAGGTTAGACCTTGGTTTTAAACAATGATCTGATTGTAAATGGTTAGAACTTGGTTTAAATGATAAGATTTTGTATTAATTTACTTAGAACTTTGCTGAAATGGTATGATTTGGAATCTTTAGACTTTGGCAAAAATGATCTTGTCTGATTTATAAACAATGCCTTCACTGTTGGGATTATAATATATAAGTGGAAATTTTAAAAGTTCTAAAAAAAGATGTTTGTAGACAAGTGAACTTACCTTGTTGTGTTTAAGAGGGTTGCTTACAGTCAAAATCTGCTTTTCTTGATCTTCAAAGTAGTTTTGAAACAAGTAATTACTAGACTTTCAGTATATTGTAAATATTGGCAATTGTGTAATTACTCCCAGCTGTTGTTTTTTTTAATTCAATTTTGGAAAATGTTTTCAATTAAATGATTAAAATTAATTGTTGTCAAGTCTTGTATTTTTTAAATTACCTGCATTGTGTGTTATTTTGCACACACACAAAAAAAATTGAAATGAGATACAATTTCCAATAAATTTGATAAATTTTATAAACATAGGCTCTATTTGAATTGGACAAAAATTCAGGTATCTGGTTAAGGTCAAGGTAAAACTTTAAAGGTCAAATAACAAAATAAAACATTTATTTGCGAGTATAATTTCTATGTACATGGATGGATTTTAATATAATCAACACAAATGTTCTCCATGTTGAGTTGAGGTGTCTCACACAAAATGAAGGTCAATTTCACAAGAGGTCAAAGGTCAAATAACTTTATCAAAAACTTTTTGTCCGCACTGTATCTTGCTTATGCTTTGAAGTATTACGCTAAGTGGTCAAAGGATTTTTGTCGAACCTGCTTGTGCGGAGCTCAACATAATTGTCAAAATGGCTGTTCAGTGTTTGAGTGCATCCAAACTTATCAATGCCATAACTTCTTCTTGCATGGAGGAATTTCATATCACACAAATTGACTTTTTTAGGCACAAATGTTCATCCTGAGACTTTGTCTCCTACACATGAACCAGGTCACCGGGTCAGAGGTCACCTAAGATGATTCAATGTCAAGATTTTGCCTTGGGGTATAAAGAGGATGTGTTGCGCATATCTCACCTATGTAAACATATTTTTCCTTGATCTGTAGCTTATAGGTTCAGGTTTGAATTAAGACCAAAGGGCTCGACATTCTTGTTTTGTCAAAGTTGCCCTTAACAGACAAGCCTTAACTTCACATGCTGTGCTCTTGATACTTGCCATATAATAACCTGCCTTTCACTATTTAACTAGGGCCTCTTCAATAATTTATTGTCCATTTAAGAGTTGTAATCTTTGTTACCAAAAAAGACTTGTTGATAAATATAAAACAGACAAACAATTCTAAAAAATATAATTTTACTTTTGATAACTTTCCATCACCTTATTACCATAAAATGAGCAGTGTCATGACAAAACCAACATAATGGGTTTGCAACCAGCATGGATCCAGACCAGCCTGCGCATCCGGGCAGTCTGATCAGAATCCATGCTGTTCGCTTACAAACCCTATTACAAGTAGAGAAACTGATAGCAAACAGCATGGATCCTGATCAGACTGCGCGGATGTGCAGACTGGTCTGGATCCATGCTGGTCGCAATCCCATTATGTTGGTTTTGTCGTGACACGGCTCAAATGATCATGCCATACTAATACAAAATAACATTTCTGCAAGTAAATTTAAAACAAGTCTATATTTAAAGATTCTATGATAAAATATGATAATTATCAAGACAATAATGAAAGAAAAAAAAAATTGCATAATCTTCATACTAAACAAGTATATCATCTTCATTATTCTGCACTTTATTGTTGCTAAACTTACAAGGGAAGATATGAGGGAGTTTAGGCAGAATATGTACAGATTTATTACTGCAACACTGTATTTGTATGTAATGCAAAACAAAATCAGGAAAAAAAAATCCCTTTAAAAGCCATGTAAAAAAATGCATTGTATAGAACTGGTTGCTATTTACAATAGTGCAACTAAATGTGTGAAAATAGAAAGGGTAAAACACACTTTTATTCATTGCCTGGACCCATATTTGGTATATAATAAATTAACTGGTGAATAGCCTGGGTAACCAAGGATGACTATATGTGCTGTAAAACTGCACACAAATTTTCCAAGTGTTTTTGGTTGTTTAATTAATTGAACACGGTTTAAAGGAAATTCACCATTCCTTACTATGTTACTTTGACTAGAGCATGTTTGATACTAAAGTTGAACATACCGGTATTTAATCCTACAGATCATGGTATTTGTATCAGTGAGTGTAAGATTGAACAAGAGCCGTCAGTAGAACAGACAGACTATTCACAGTGCTTGATAGTAAAAACAAGAGCCTGGATAATGTAGAATTGTATAAGCTCAAAACGGGCCATAATTTTGTCAAAATCCACATTAGAGTTATGGGCCTTAGACAGTGACTTTCTTTTATGCTCTTAAGTGTATAAAGTGTCAACCTATTCCTTTCATAAGTTTTGGAAATACAAACTTGATACAAGCACTTAACCTAAGTGTGACACCAACACCTGGGTGATACAATAGCTCTCCCTATTCTTCATATAGTCAAGCTAAAACTATTTCACCCAATGTACAATAATTATAATATTGTCATGAGTCAAAGTCACATAAATGTCATATCTAGTGTTCATTAATTAAATAAAATTTACTATCTCACTGCCTTTTAAAGAGATTTAATGTAGTTAGGAAGTATTGTGATAATTCACTGTCCAATTATCAAATACATGTATAATCCACAGTAACAGTTACAACAACACATGCAATGAATTAGTTTATACGAACCTGGCATGTCATGTCATGTGTGGTTACCATAACAACAAAATCAGAAAAATACTGATCAATATCTAGTGTCATTTATTATACAGTCTGTATATTGCACAATTCTATATCATTTCTACAACAAAACTTCCACATTTTCTCTAAAAATATACATGTACACTCTTAACTATGATTATCTTAAAGTGCATAAACATATATACCCTTCACAAATTAAATACACATGATCAATCAAAATGAAAAATTTATGAATACTCTTCAGAAAGAAGGTATTTCTTCTATGGCACATTATGCCTCAGAAACATTTTTTTTTCTTCATTCTTTAAAAGGCTTTCTTCAGAAAGGGCAAAAATAACTTAACACATATGAAAAAATGGGTTTAAAGCAGCATGCCTCCAGATTAATGCTTATTTTCACTGTAATTAAAAGTATAATATTGTATAGTAACAAAAACGAAACAAATTTAACATTATCAAAGGCACTTGCAACCCACGTTATTGACAAAAATAGGTCAAAATATGCGAAAATTGTCCATATTGCATTAGCAACACAGTAGAATTTTAGTTACACATAATGAAACATTAACCATTATGGCATTAATCACTCATAACAGGTAAATTTTTACTTGAATCCTTTATCTTTCTTCATTTCCTTTAATCTTTGTACATTTTTCTCAAGTTTCATTTAATTGAAATATTTTGGCTTATCTGGAGGCATACTGCTTTAAAGCATGTTAAATGTTTCTCTTAACCCATGTTAAAATGTTATAGAACACATTTTTGCCCTTTTTATAGAAGGAAAAATTATTCATTTCTAAGGCATAATGGGCCTTTAATAAACAGTAACCTATTTTAAGTGGCTTAAGTAAATGTTTTGAATCTTTTACACAATGTGAGAATGAGCAGCAGATTTACCAGGATTCAATAACAAGTCTGTGCCAAATAACTTAAATTAAATGTATCAAAGAATTTGGATAAAAATAGACAAAAATATCGTTTTAACTACTAAACTTTAATAAAGAATTAACCCATCTCCCAAATATATAATGAATTTGTTTACAAAAATAACAGCACCATTTCATAAAACAAGAAAAACAAATTCTATTTAATAGAATTAAGATATTTACCTAACTCATCAATAAATAAGATTGAAACAAAATCAAAAAAATTGGATTAATTTGTTTGGGTTTTTTTACTTTTAAACTGTACAAGTACATTGTTTTGTTGATAATTTATATTTACTCACACCAACACTGTAAAGGTCATATGGTGACTTTCCAGCTTTATTGGTAGAAGGAGACATCAGGTGCCCCCTCTGTGCATTATTTCAGGCAAGGGAGCAGCACCAGAGTAGAACCACCGACGTTACGTAAACTAGCTGGATAGCTTCTTCATATGAAAATCCCAAACCCCTGACGGTATATGAACCCACAGCAATGAAGGACATGTGACTTATAGTTGATGACTTTAAACCACTTGTTTTAGAGTAAAGGATTCATGCATATAAGAATGTGTAAAACAGATTTGGTCCCACCTACTCTACATTCCATTTTGATATACCATATAACTCTGTTTTCCAGTTCTATTGTATATTACTGGTACACATATATCTTGAATAAGATTCTTTAAAAAAAAACACAGATTATTATTTTCAAAGAATAATATTTTAAGAACGTTTGAAAATTTGTTCTAAGGTGCAGAAACAACCGGGTCGGACGAGCTATAGGTCAACTGTTCTTTAAATATTGAATATTTAAAAAATTATTACAAATAGAAGTCACAAGATTTGCCATTTACAATACATATAATTTCTTTTAATTTTACATTTTTGGAATGAGTAATATCGAAGAAATTGACGATACAGATTTTATTGTCAAAACTGCTGAAAAGACAGAGAATTTTGTGAAAGAACAAGTCCATATTGTCCTGAAACGAGTGAAAAGTCTGTCTAAGAACATAGGGCATCTAGCACAGAGCCTGAATTCAGTCTATTCCGAGTAAAAGTCGGCTTAGAAAGTGAATTCCAGATTGCAGCAAACTTTTAAATGCAATGCACTGCTGGTGTAAGGACACCTTAAAGAAAATGCTTGCTGACGGACTGGGCGACTATTGAGCCGCAAATTAACAATGATGGCTATGACATTACTCCAAGAACCAGTGGTCAACAGGATATGTGCGCTAACGATGATGACAATGGGCAGAAATCATACTCTGCAAAGAAGTTAGCTACCCTACCCCCTTTATAAGACAGCTGTCAATTTCAACCAATGTTAAGAGTGCCAATCAATATTCAGTACAACCTCTGAAAAGTCACACTCTTGAGTGCTAGATTTATTGTGAAGTCTTATTTTGTGAAGAACTGAAACTATAATTGTAAAGAGGTTTTAGCTCTACAGACGGCCACTCTGAAAAGGCTGTACTATATTCACAACAGAACTAATTTTAAATTAATACAATTATCAGAATATTTCATGCACAGTGGTCCATCATTCAACCATACTTTCACCTAATCAAACATCCAATCAGATTCAGCTCAGCTTGTATCAATTAAATATCAATTAAGACTATGTAATAAAGCACTATCAGGAGTATATTTTTAGACTAAGTGTTCTGTCCATTCTGAGAGGTAAAGTTCCGGACAACGCCGACACTTCCCAGTATAAACTACGAGATAGAAACAGTTTATATAACAACACTACAGCTACCGACTGGCACAACACTACACACATGGTGATTATCTGAAAAATAAAACAAAATATTCATGTTGTTAAAGGTTCCAATAAATTAAAATTTGTTTTAATGAAACCTTTTAACCATAAACCTGCTGATTGTAAACAATAAGTGCAGACCAAGATCAGCTGGCACATCATTGCCATCAAATCATTTCATAATTTGATCACAATTATGCCATTTGATCACATCCATGTCATTTCATAATTTGTAAGGGTGTAACGGTTTACCGGTATATTGTAATATGAAAAAATAAATTTCGTACCACGGTACGATTTTTTGAGAACCGGTATTTTATAAAATCATAATTTTCAATTAATTGCCTTCTTATTTTGTACAATTTTCACATAAAATCTTTAATTGGGGAATTTTATTGGCATTAACGTAAGATAGAAGAATCCGACAACTAGTACACTAAAAAGTCAATAAGCGGCCGCATAATTTACATAAGCGGCCCAGATGTGAAAGGTCACACACGACTTGTTTTGTTTATCAAATTGTGTAACACTTAACTTTCTATTTATTCCTTACATTTTTATTAAGTTTCTACTAAAAATATATACATATAATAATAATATATAATGTTACTCCATCTTTATATCAAAAGATTTACACGACAATACGTATTGCAATATATTGCAATACGGTTTTTGCCGTATTGTTACACCCCTAATAATTTGATCACAACTGTGCCATTTCATCACATCCTTTCATTTCATAATTTGATTACAATTGTGCCAATTGATCACATCCTATCATTTCATAATTTGATTACAATTGTGCCAATTGATCACATCCTATCATTTCATAATTTGTTTACAATTGTGCCAATTGATCACATCCTATCATTTCATAATTTGTTTACAATTGTGCCAATTGATCACATCCTATCATTTCATAATTTGTTTACAATTGTGCCAATTGATCACATCCTATCATATCATAATTTGTTTACAATTGTGCCAATTGATCACATCCTATCATTTCATAATTTGATCACAATTGTGCCATTTGATCACATCCTATCATTTCATAATTTGATCACAATTGTGCCATTTGATCACATCCTATCATTTCATAATTTGATCACAATTGTGCCAATTGATCACATCCTATCATTTCATAATTTGATCACAATTATGCCAATTGATCACATCCTATCATTTCATAATTTGATCACAATTATGCCATTTGATCACATCTGTGTCATTTCATAATTTGATCACAATTGTGCCATTTCATCACATCTGTGCTATCTGATCATGATCTGCAGACATTTTCACAAAAAATCTTACGACAATTTTTTGTCGTAAGAGAAATCTTACGATAAATCTCCTTTTCACAAAAAATCTTAAGAAAATCTTAAGTGCAAAATCTGTCGTAACTTTACGATAGGTCTTCCCCGTTCGTAAGTGTAATTTTTTCTCTCTTAAGGGTAAAATATCATGTATCTCTTACCTAAAATGAATAAAAACAAACAAAAAGTTGCAGGACAAATAAACATTAAGCAAACAGTATGCTATAAATAACACAAATTGAGGTATAATTATTTTTCAACATAAACATTTGTGACGTCATGACTTGATGACGTCACGATGGAGAGGGTTATGAATAGTTTAAATGTGAACTATACTGTAGTATTATTGAAAACTTATAATTTGTACAATTGGTGAGTTCGATTTCATTGCCAGCATGTACTAGTGGTACCTTTTTAATTATTAATAACATAGTAGACCTTCTTTCTGAATCTTTTATATATACTATATAATTATCTTCAATCAAGATATAAATTATATCAGTTTGAATCATTTTTTTGTTCTTATTGAAAAAAGATATTTCAAGCTCTTGATAACTTGATTTTAAAACCGGAATCAAATATATAGAGCATGCACATCACTATCAAATGAACGTTGCTAGGGATGTTTTTGTCGTAAGATTTATCGTAAGTGAATTTTTTATCTTAAGATAAAATTTTAACTTACGAGTGGCTTTGTGAAAATGACTTAAGATTTAACTTACGATTATCGTAAGTTAAAAACTTAAGATAAATCGTAAGATTTTTTGTGAAAATGTCTGCTGCACTGTTCGCTATACTGTCAATCATAACATATCTTGAAATTTTTCTTACATATGATATAAGGTTTTCTACAGATTGAATGGACAAGTCCATTTAAGTGGGACAAGGATTATATAAAATGGTTCTGTTACACTGAGAACATGACATCATGTGATAAATTACATATTTAGAGAATTTCCCAGATATATAAAAGACAATATGAGAACCAAAAATAAAATAATTTATCTAATGTCACTTTAAGTCAAAATATCTTGTTAAATTTGATTGTCTTATGTTATACAATGTAATATAAATGTGAGTAGAAGTCAACTCCAGTAGAAGTTGTAATAAGAAAATGTCTATGATGCAAATTTAAAGTACATAACAGTTTCCTTTGAAAGATACATTACTACTACACCGAGTGCTTTTTATATATTCTAGATTTCAACATGTTGTTTAGAATACATGCTCATAAGGGTCCGTAATCCTGTAATATATTCTGTAATATAATATAGTTATATAGAAGTTATCAGATCTGGAGAATTACCTTATATCTAAGATATTCTGTAAATAACAAGGAGACAACAACTATCACAGGATAACATAGAAACCACAGCATACAACTCTGAAAATAAAATAATACAAAAATAATCAACCATGATAATAAGCAGTGGCAACATACAGCAGATTTCATTTTATATATGTAGTTTTGGAATTGTAATTCTTTTTTCAATCCAAAACTGAAGAAAATCTGTAAAATAGTGAAAAAGTGATTCCCTTGTATAATACAAAATCTGTAGTTAAAATATATTTCTTGCATACTCCATCCACCTCCACTTTAGAATAGCAGGGGGGTTAGAATTTTCAAATCCCTGGTAAAGGCCCGGTTACATTTTTTAAGACAGACAAATCGTAAAATTTCTACAACAAATGTTCATGCACTGCTAATTGGATTTATCTTTGTCATGTTGGTGCCAAAACCAAAGCCCTGCATCAACGGAGCAGAGACATAAGAAGGTAAAAACTAGGCTTATTTTCCCTGCAAATCTTCTATGGATGGTAGGTTAAGTCTTACTGCTGCATTAAATATGCATGAAATTTTCATCATCTTCATCAATGTACAATGAAATAACGGAACTTCAAATATATAGAGAAAAAAACTCTGGTGCCGAAATTATGATAGGCATGACTTACTGAATGAATAAGTAAGAAACAGTTGAAAAAAAAAAAAAAAAATTATAAATGAAAGTAATATTACCACAATCATATTTCAAAACAGACAACTATTTACACTGTTTCTTTGTTGTTTTCCTATTCATCAACCACTTTAAATTTGTAATACAAAAGGTGTTAAAATGCATTTTGCCCCATCTCATTGGATTCAAAACAACCCCCACTATATTATAAACAAATAAACATGTAAGTTGTAGACAAATGAACCAAAGAATCAACACAGTTGACATAGGCTGATTTTATACATGTAGCAAACAAGGTAGGTGTGCACTAAAATGTAACACTATATCAGTATATTTCTCTCGCACATAATACCAACAACAACAAGACATGATTTTAGTAGTCGATATTTCTTATTTTTAAGTAAATTTCACTTAAAGATCCTGTATGTTTTGTAATTGAGGTTGTATACCACTCTTACATGAAATTATGTGCATATAATTATGCTAATTAAATTTTTTTCAAACATCAAAGAATTTGTAAAATATGAACTGCAAATATTTGTACATATTAAATGTAATCATTAAAATATATCCATTCATTTCTTATTGGAAAATTTGTCTTAGAATTTATAGAATTTTTTTTAATTACCTCCCTTTATTTACATGAAATATTAAATTTGGTAATATCTTTATACATAATGCTTTTTGGAACTTACAATATTGATAAATCTTAATTTGAACATCATATTTTGTATATAAAACCATAACAAGAATGTGTTACAGGATCTTTAAATTTGTGTTGAAACATTTATACAAGATAATGTTGTCTCCTTAGTGCAATAACTGGTTAACACCTATTTAATTAAGTACTTAACTCATTACTACACAAAGGAGACAATGTCCCTCTTTCTATAACAAGAGCTGTCTGTAGGACAGCACGCTCGACTATTCTTAGTGCTTGATAGTAAAAGAGCCTTGATAATGTTTATTTTTTTTAAGTTCACAAAAGGGCAAATTTTTTTTTATAAATTCATGTTATAGGCCTTACAGAGAGTCTAATTATACAGTATTGGCTTGACTATTCGGAAGGTAATGTCACAAGGGTGTTTTATTGAGTATAATAATACTAATTACCTATCAGATTACATAAATTTGACAGACAAGGTACAAAGGCTTGTTATTAAGATGTTTTATCAAGTAAATCACTGCTTTATTATTATGAATGCATAAAAATTGTCCCAAAAAAAGGCACAAACCCTTCAGTAGTTATTGAGATAACAGCTTACAAACAAAACTTTAAAATGAATTTCTAAGTTGAAAAAGGGGAGAAAAATCAGCCTAAATGCAAGATAGAATTATGGATCTTTGTCAGTGACCTACAATTATGACCCTAAATGCATATGTGAAGTTTTAAATAAATATCTGTAATAGTTATTGAGATATGTAAAACTTGCATGTAAACATTAACCAAGATACTTAGTAGAAAAGGGGATATGAATCAGCCTTAATGCAAGATAGAGTTATGGAACTTGGTCAGTGACATACAATTATGACCCTCCAATTATGACCCTAAGTGCATGTGTAAAGTTTCAAGTAAATATCTTTGAAGACCTTTAACCTCAACCAAAATTTCTAAGTTTCAAAGGGGCAAATAATTCTGCAAATATTGCAGGCAGAGTTATGCAATTTTGCAAACTGATGTACATTGTTACTATAAAAAAGTATTTTACATTTCAATTGAATATCTCAAGCAATAATTGAGATATTTGACTTTACAAAAAAACTTTAACCAAAATTTCTAAGTTCCAAAGGGGCATAATTCTGTCAATATTGTAGGCAGTGTTATCCAACTTGTCAATCTGATGTACCTTGTTACTATAAATAAGTATTGTAAGTTTCAATTGAATATCTCAAGCAATAATTGAGATATTTGACTTTACAAAAAACTTTAACCAAAATTTCTAAGTTAAAAAGGGGCATAATTCTGTCAATATTGTAGGCAGAGTTATCCAACTTGTCAATCTGATGTACCTTGTTACTATAAATAAGTATTGTAAGTTTCAATTGAATATCTCAAGTAATAATTGAGATATTTGACTTTACAAAAAACTTTAACCAAAATTTCTAAGTTAAAAAGGGGCATAATTCTGTCAATATTGTAGGCAGAGTTATCCAACTTGTCAATCTGATGTACCTTGTTACTATAAATAAGTATTGTAAGTTTCAATTGAATATCTCAAGTAATAATTGAGATATTTGACTTTACAAAAAACTTTAACCAACGCAGACGCGGACGCCGACGCCGGGGCGACTACAATAGCTCTCATATTCTTCGAATAGTCGAGCTAAAAAATAGTACACAACAAAAAGACAAAACAAAAACATACTAACCTTTGTAAATGATATATAGAACTCTCTTTTCATAATACTTTTTTCCACTGATACAGTAACCCACAGGTTCCAACCAAACAGTCCAGCGAGAACCATACGCAGCACTAGTAAAGCAAACCCTGCGTATGTTCTGTGAGCGTGATATAACCTGTGAGTCTGGTCTTGATACTGTTCCCATAGAAACAAAACTCCCTGAAACATCAATTATACTTCATATCATATCAGATATATATATAGAGGGTTGTCGACTAACCCACCCAAGCCCTCAAAATGCTATTATTTTTATTTTTTCAAAATCTTTTTACTTTTGGTGTCCGATTACAATCCCCAAAAAAAAAAGTATTCATTCCCAATCTTGATTTGTACAGGATTCATTATAGTCTGTGTAGGAGGCTATAAGCTTATAGACACACTTTCGAATCTGTTCCTAGAACCAACCAGTACTGAGCAATGAGTGTAAATATTCTTGCTCAAGGAAACAACAACTTGCCTCTGACTGGTATGTTGTGATATGAAAATTATCATATTTCACTTGTGGCTACCACTATTCAGATATTATCTCTTTTCATTTAACTTGATGAAAATAAATCCTGTATTTACAGAAAAACAAGAGGGCCATGATGGCCCTGAGGTCGCTCACCTGTATATAGGCCCCCGAAGCGGGGCCAGTTTAACCTCCAGGGCTTTTATTTGAACAAACTTGGAATTAAGACACCCATTAAAAGATGTTTCATGATGTTAAGTTTTTGCTATACACATATAAGGAAAAACAATGACCCCCTCCCTCCCCCTCCCCCCCCCCCCCCCCCCCCGGCAGAGTTAATTTTAAACCCAAGGGCTTTATTTGAACAAACTTGGTAGACACCCATAAGAAGATGTTTCATGTTAAACATCTAAGCTCTAGCTCATTGGGTTTTTTAAAAGAAGATTTTTTAAGTTTTTACTATACACATATAATTATAGTTAAAAACAATGACACCCCTGGACACTTATTAGAAGATGTATCATGCTTAATATCAAAACTCTAGCTATTTGGATTTTTTCAAAGAAGATTTTTTAAGTTTTTGCTATACACATATAAGGAAATCAATGACCCCCAGGGCGGGGCCAATTTTGACCCCAGGGCTTTAATTTGAACAAACTTTGCAGACACTCACTAGAAGATGTTTCATGCTTAATATCTAAACTTTAGCTATTTGGGATTTTTTCAAAGAAGGTTTTTTAAGTTTTTGCTATACACATATAAGGAAAATCAATGACCCCCGGGGCAAAGCCAATTTTGACCCCAGGGCTTTTATTTGAACAAACTTAGTAGACACCCATTAGAACATATTTCAAGCTAAATATCTTAGCTCTAGCTCTTTGAGTTCTTTAAAAGAAGATTTTGTTCAGTTTTTACTATATGCATATAGGGAAAATCAATGACCCCCTGGGGCAGGGCCAATTTTGACCCCAGGGCTTTTATTTGAACAAACTTGGTAGACACTCATTAGAAGATGTTTCATGCCAAACATCTAAGCTCTAGCTCTTTGGGTTTTTTAAAAGAAGATTTTTTAATTTTTTACTATACACATATAATTAAAAACAATGACACCCCTGGGGCGGGGCCAGTTTTGACCCCAGGGCTTTTATTTGAACAAAATTGGTAGACACTCACTAGAAGATGTTTCATGCTAAATATCTAAACTCTAGCTCTTTGGGTTCTTTAAAAGAAGATATTTAAAGTTTTTACTATATGCATAAAGGGAAAATCAATGACACCCTGGGGCAGGGCCAATTTTGACCCCAGGGCTTTTATTTGAACAAACTTGGTAGACACTCATTAGAAGATGTTTCATGCTAAATATCTTAGCTCTAGCTCTTTGGGTTCTTTAAAAGAAGATTTTTTAAGTTTTTACTATATGCATATAGGAAAAATCAATGACCCCCTGGGGCGGGACCAATTTTGACCCCAGGGCTTTTATTTGAACAAACTTGGTAGACACTCACTAGAAGATGTTTCATGCCAAATATCTAAGCTCTACCTCTTTGGGTTGTTTAAAAGAAGATATTTAAAGTTTTTTCTTTCGGTTGCCATGGCAACCAGAGTTCTGCATGGAATTAAATTCTTTGAACAATTTTTAAAGGTGACCACCAAAGGAACATTCCTGTGAAGTTTGGATGAAATTGGCTTAGTGGTTTATGAGGAGATGTCATTTGAAGCAAAAGTTTACGGACGGACGGCGGACGGACGCCAGAAGAAAAGCGATCACAAAAGCTCACCCTGTCACTTTGTGACAGGTGAGCTAAAAACTTGAATATCCTCTATATATGTTTCTAGTGAATCGTACCTGTACTACAGCGAGAACACCTACAACTTTTGCGGCAGGTCTTTTACTGATCATCTGTAGATGAGTATTTCTGTACGTTGTACCGAGGGTCCAGCCCAGACTTAAACTTAACAACATATACAACATGGCAAATTGAGACAGCACATCAAAAACTGAAACATGAAAACACACATGAAATAAGTAAATCTAAATAATGGCTCCATTTCAAAGGTGTTTTTACTATTAAGAGAATTTTTGATGCATAGATATATTACCAAAACACTGAAAACAGAAAAGCATTTTTTGCTTCATCTAAAAATTAATCTAAATTTTTCCTCATTCTTCCAGTGAAATTTAATATCCAATAATGTCAGCAATACAATTATATTCCAAAACTTCATTGCGAAGATATCAAATAAACATCAACTGGGAAGTATATAATAACTATATCATGATATATAACCAATATTTTAAACTTACATTCTGACAGCATTTCAAACATTGGTGAACCAATTCCATCTCTGGAATATCTGAAACACAAAATTTGACCACTAAGTTATATAACAAAATAATCTTGATTTTTTTTCCCATGAAAAAATATTATCCACTAAATTTACACATTTCATTTATTCTATTCCTCTTTTGAATTCACCAATTAAATTAATTAATATATTAACAGATCGCTTGATTCTTTTTAAAAGAAATTTTCAGTCATATCCTAATGAAAATTTTATTCAGCCCTGTAATAAAAAATTGTTTGTTTCCCTTCCTGCTCTATATGCCTACACAGAAGAATTTCTATTGTCCAAAATTTTAAATAGCCAAACAAAATCAAAGTTGTCCCCTAACCCACTGTAATGTATTGTGCCATTTTTCCAATGGGCTCACTCACTGACTTTACAAAAGGATAACCAGTCAGTTTACAGTCAGTATGATGTTTTTGCATTAAACATATTAATAGTTTATACGCTGGAAACATGCAAAGTTCTGTAAAAAAACAAAACAAGAGCACTGCATGCAGTATTAATGCTCGTCTGTAAAAATAACAAAATTTGACAAATAAAAAATAAAACATGAAATAAGAGGCATAACACCAAAGATATAGCTAAAACTTTCAGAATTATGCCCCTTGTCAATGTAAGCAGGTATTCCAAGTTTCGTAAAGATGCCTTTAAAATTGCTTAAGTAATTGGCTACATTAAGTTTTTGCATGACGACAACAATGACGAAGATGCCACAGCTATCATAACAGCTCAACTTTTTCTTCTGAGCAGACAAGGTTAAAATGACAATAAACAATCTTCAAGCAATACTCACTTTCTTAAATGCATCATCATAATAAAAGCACCGACCGCCTGTAAACATGTACTAGCTGTGAGTAACTGTATGACAAGCTGCATAGGTCCGCCACTACTGAACGGTTCAACTAAACGAGGGACACATATACAACCCAAAACAAAATATGCCAAGGCCAGTAACTGGTAAAATCTCAACAAGCCTGGAACCAAACAAAAATAATCATAATTAATTAACATTTTATTCTTCTAGAAAATAAGTATGACATTGAGAAAAAAAAATCAGTACTTAACTGAAATTTTCCCTAAAATTAATGAATGGTTTAGTCCAGACTGAATGATGGTGAAGTCCATTTAATATATTCAACAGCGCACAGGCCACTAAATATAAAGCTTTGTATAGATGATGATAAATTCAACATTTTGAATGCTTTAAAATGATTATAATGTAATTTTCATAAAGATGTATTTTACATAGATATAAAATGCTGGTGCACAAAGCTGATATAAATACTTTGTACAAATGTTTAAGGATTGGCTTCCAACAACAATAATACCACTGATAGGTAAGTAAAGTTAAGTGAAGTAAAGAAAAATACCTGTTTCTTCATCACTAAAATGTTCAACTGGATTTCCTAGAGCATCTGGGTTAAGTAGTTGTATGTCATAATCAATGAAGTTCTGTGCCAGGACCTCCGACATGTCATAACTTGCGCAGGTATGAGCATCAGCAAACACGACATGCCAAATTCTAGGTTCGTGATGGTGTGCTACTGTTCTGTTTCCAACAGGCCCTGTTATGTCATCTAAAATTAAAAGCATGTAGAACTGTCAAATTATTTTTTTCTCTCTTTTTTTTCATTACTTTGAAAACTTTTAGTTTCACACAAAAACAAAATAGTCAATAGTGACAAAATTTATAATCATGTAACTTGTACCAGTATGAACAACTACATGTTATAAATTAACAGTTGCAAGACCGCCCCTTGCATTTCTCTAAATACATTAACTGTTTTAGGTGACCACATGTTTGAAATGACCAGTGACAGACCTTAAGCCATCCCATGAGCATAGTTGAGCAACCACAATGTGAGAAGGAGAAAACATTAAATATTCAACAAACTGAAAGTTATTAGTTTTTTTAAAATAGTTTAAATTCATTCCTGGATTAGGAAACAATCTGTATAAAAAAATCATTTTTGAACTACCCCCCAAGTGGTCTCTGATACAGGTTTGAATGTACATATACCTTAAAATTAAAGAATGTTTGTCAACAGTGTTAATAAGCATTCCTTGGAAACAATGCTTAGATAACAAGACAAACTTTATTTAAACAACCATGACCTGAGATAATAAAACTTTTCTCTGTGTTCTGTCTCAAACTCTGTCTCCGACTCAGGATTTTCATTGGTCACTGTACACTCTGTGAAAGTTTCTGACCAATCAAATACCTGAGATCTGAGCTTGTCAGAGCTAAGAGATTATTTTTTATAACCTCAGACCCAGTTTCATCTGCAACAGGGAAAATATAATGCATACATAATCAAACATCCCCTGCTGTATCTGGACTTGATCAGATCATGAATTAATAGGGAATTTCATTAATTATATACGTACATGAAGCTCTAGCAAGTTCTAGTTTAGCTGTACAGTCTGTTTGGTCTGTAATTTGTTTCCAATCTTGACTAAGAAATAAATAAAGTTTTCCAGATGACATAGAGGCATTCAAGGAATACTGGATTACAGCTTCACCTGGAAAAATACAGTTAAAAAAAATATTCATAATCATATACATGTATTAATACATTTGTAGTAAACATTTGCTAAAATGCAGCAGTTTCAAGTTGTGATTACAAATAGAAGTGAATATTTCAGGGTCTTTCTGAATGGTATATATGGAAATATGAATGGAACAAATTGTAAGTTATGCTGTTGAAGTTATTGTCATCCCACCCCTACAAAAACGGATATGAGTCAATCTATGTGACTTCTGACATTATTCCGTTGTTGTTAGGATTATGCACCTGCTTTATCATCTATCTGTTTTTCATAGCATGATACAAAAGAATATATGCACAACGCACAAAACAGCTGATTTATTTTTTATAGCTGCAAAAAATAGCTTTTGTAGGCACTAAAACAGACTTAAATTCATGAAATCAGAAATGTGCTTAAAACTTTGCAACAGAATGTTTTTGGTCTTCAGAAATGTAGCACATTCAAGGTAAATATTCTTATTGTTATCATTTTTATTTTTGTTTATAATTGTCCTGAAAATATAAACCTGGAAGTATACTTTCAATTGGTTAATCATTTTACAATAAGAGCTTTGTTGTTATATGAATTTTGGCCTACTTTCACTTTGAACAGTTGAACAGACTTGAGTGAAAACAAACATGGCTGACAAAGCAGAATCACCTTTAAAGTACATCAAGCTCGCTTTGAGGCTTTGCCTTTTTCATATTAGTACATAGCCCATGTAGAACATAAAAAAGTTTGTTTCAAGCACCTGTAACCTGACTAACCATATGTTCAAAGTTGTAATTAACAGATTAACTGATAAGCCTGTCAAGCCTTTAATAAATCAAGTTATGTTCTGTCCCTATATTGTGGAACAATTTTGATTTCAAGATTATTGTGATAGATAACTAAAACAAGAGCTGTCCGTAAGACAGCGCGCTCGACTTTTTTATTGCTTGCCAATAAAAAAAGTTTTTGCAGTAAAAGGCAATACAAGAACCAAGATTCTAAGTCGATAAAAGGCCTTAATTTTTAAAACAAATCCTTGACAGAGTTACCTTCTCTTGCGTACAGATGGGGGTAATGATGTGAAATAGCATTAAAAGTTTCAAAGCAATATCTCAAAGGGTTAAGGCAATAAGTGGATTTTACCCATATTCAATGTATTTTCTAAGTCAAAAAGGGGCATAATTCTGTCAAAAACCTTGACAGAGTTATGTCCTCTTGTCTGTTGATGAAGGTCGTGATGGTAAACAAGTATGGTCAGTTTCAAAGCAATACCTCCAATGGTTTTGAAATAAAGTGAGGTGGTACAAAAAACTTAACCAAGCTCAATACACTTTCTAAGTCAAAAAAGGGCCATAATTCTGTCAAAAACCTTGACAGAGTTATGTACTCTTGTCTGTAGATGGAGGTTATGATGGTGAACAAGTATGGTAAGTTTCAAAGCCATACTTGTAATACTTCTGAAATAAAGTGGGGTGGTACGAAAAACTTAACCAAGGTGTGACGCCAACGCCGACGCCGACGCCGGGGCGAGTAGGATAGCTCCCCTTTTCATAGAAAAGTCGAGCTAAAAATGTCTCACCATGAAAACAGAAGGACGACAAGTATTGTCCTTTTTCTTGCCGGGCTGTCAAACTTGTCACGACTCCCCTTATAGTTTTACATGTAACTGACCCAAAAAGAGTAATTACAATGAAAGAAAATGTAAATATGTTGTTTTTATGAAATCGTGGTGACATATTTTCAATAAAGTTAGTGTAAAAATGCTTAAAACCACTGAAATCTCATCTTTCTGTCTGTTCGCGAAAATGTGTGACAGTTAAGGTGCCGAAAAGTTCGGCGGACGTGTAATGTCGTAAATATTCGAAACGAAAGACGTCTTTAATCTTTTACTCTGAGATATGCACGTTACAGTGGAAAACATTTTGTTCGTCTTATTTTCAGACTTCAAGTTAAAACATTTTCTCATTACTTTGCACGACTTAACGACATTAGGTGTAAGACAACTAAATTTATTTGGCGCGTAATTTAAATAGCAGACTTAATCTATAAAAGTATAAGTTTAATAGTTCTAAATGAAATTTTATTTTATGAAAGTAACATTTATTTATTCAAGTATGAAATTAATTTTGAGACCTTTATTAAGTGTGCTTACTAGCCCTTGTTTTAGCTCGTTATTTAATCTGTGCACTGTATTTAATTTTTTGAAGCTAAATTTGAGTGTTTTATCTTGAACATTTCGCAGTTCTTAGTCCTAGTTAAGTATTACGTATGTTGTTTATGCTTAGTGATGGTTTGTCCGCCCTTTAAGGCACAAAAAAGCAGCTTCGGACCCCGGGCAGGTGCTGATAATTTACCTCCATGCAATTTCCAAAGAGTTTATAATTATTAGCCAATTATATGAATTTTGAGCCAAAAACAGTGCACTATGCGGCGGACAATGGCTACCTAAATGAACAATAACATGTAACGATATGAAAAGGAGGTAGCCCGGAAAAGGTTGATGCCAAATAAAGGCCTAACTTTCAAACAACCAATCTGTGCTATGACACTTTCCTCCTTGCTCCTGCCTACTTTGTAGGACCACTCATTTCGTCTTTAGACAGATAATCGGCAGCTGACCCACAGGTACAACTTCTGGTCTTTGTTTATTTCGACATCGGAATTTAAGTTCTTCAAATCTTCTGCCGATGTCCTGTGCCTTCTGAACGACGTGCATGTACCGAGGGGAAGTGTGGAAAGTCATTGTTATGCATTTCCATTATATAAATAAAAACGGGGTGTGTTATATACCGCGTAAGCACGTCTGAGGAGAATACCATTTGCTACAGAAGGTCGTTCCAATAAGGACGGACCTTTGATACTGTACGTATAACTTTTTGTCCAGTATTATTATGTACATGAACATTATACATATGCTTTAGATTATGATGTTAGTTCAGTGATCAATCCTCATTATGAGGATGTTTTCATAAAGCAGCTAGTCATCAACCTAGATACTAAAGAAAACATTCAACTTGTAAACGCCAAGCGGTATTCTGTCCACCATTACGCAAGTAAGCTAGGAGATCCTACAATAGGATTAAGTGGAAGATCAGGAAACTTTTAGACGCGAATGTGAATGTGAATGCTGTCAAGAATACACGATGAAGGCTCGTCCATATAGAATCTGTGCTGCAAGATATGCCACATGAACTTAAATGTTAACAGGTGCCTGCACTTGCTTCTTTTCTACCGCAAGCGCTGAACGGTTAATAGTATGAGAAGGCTAACGACCTTTTGCACTCAACAATTGCCACTGATCACCTCTATGGCTTAGAAAGTCACTTGTTGAATCTCACAATATGCACGAGCAATTTATATCTGTAATAACTACACCAAATCAGAAGCTAGAAAGCTGAAACATAAAACCAGACCGAGTGTGTCATGAAATTTCCTTACATGTGAATGAGCTTATTAAAAATATCAAAATGACCTACAAACCTTCTTACCTCGAGAGAATACGTACGTGCGGCATTATAAATATTCATGACTCAGTAGCCATTTTGTCAAGTTTGCAATAATTTCGCCCGCTTGAACCAAGTGTGCAACCATTTCACGCCATGCCCCTTAAATTGTTGTACTATTCCTTTTATATGGTTCTTTGATTATTGGATACTTTACAAGAATTAATTGAGTGATCTGAATAAAAAATACGCACGTGTACTTGCCAATGAAAATCATACAATGTTTTATTATGGATATACAAATAATTTCTAGAATTTGTACATTTCTTTCTAGCTATTTAGTGAAGAGCTTTTGAAACTTAATTAAGGGTCCAAAATTTGATTTAGCTGATTAGCCATTCAAATTTATAGAGTGTTATATTTGATAACACAACATTAACTACTGTGCAATTATTGTTATCTCTTAACTAACGGAAGAAGCATGCCATGTTTGAGATATGGACGGCAAGTAGTTGGCGTTAAGTACATCCTGAAGCAATTATATTACTATTAATTTTATCTATTATTATCATTATTCATTATTCTTGTGTAGGAGTTGTGGACAACAGGAGCATTTCTTGAACAACTTTAAGGTTTGTTTTCACTTTTAAAGTTCATGTGTTAAAAAAAATCTTGTACGTTTGTTAACGCGTTTATAACGAATAAATACATGTACGTTGTAAATTTGCAGACGTTTTAAGTGAAATGTTAAATAGATTGATTTCCTGATGGTAAACAGTAAGACTAATTTTGCTCCATATTACGAAAAAAGCTGCCACATTCATTTTGGTGTGGTCGTCGGTATTATCGTCGGTTTTGATTGTGTTAACATTTCTCGTTAACTTCAATACTCAGTCTGACAAAATAATTATATTGAAACTTTACACGTGGGAGAACCTTGATAAGTTCTACCTGACAACTGTTACATCCATTTTCAGGTTAGGGTCACTGGGGCCTGTAAGGACAAAACATCAATCTTGCTATCAAAATGCGGACAGCATTTTTTCTAAATGCTATGAATGTTTTTTTTCCAGAATGAAAGATGAAAAATCCATATGAGATATTAAGCGTGGTATGTGTTAAATAAGTGGTACCATTCATTCTGGTAATATAGCAAACTGGATAACATAAAATAATATTTACAAGGTATTCGTAAATTACTATAGGTAAAAAATTACATTTATTTTCAAACAATTAACAAACTACAAGTGTGTGTTTTTTTCTATGAACAATTGACTTTTTTGTTAAGTGAAAAAAATATAACAATTTTCAAAATTAACACAAATTAAAATATCAAATTGGATTATATTTTATATAAAATGACTCATTTCGTTTATTTTGCTTGAATAAAATCTCAGAAAAAAAAACGTTTCAATATACGTAATTGAGTGAAAAAGAAGACAAGATATATATATGTATGTAGCTGATTCGGAAGACATTTTGTTTTGGTTTATCCGTTTACGAAACAACTTTATATAGACATTAATTATATAGCCACAGTACAATGTTTTACTTTTTCATGATTTACAGGATTTGAGCAAAGTGAAAATGGATGCCATTACACCTAACCAGGCAAGTCTTCCAGACAATTACACTGTACTTGCTAACAATACAGACTATACAACTGACATATATGACTGGTACGACTACAACGGGTCTTACTATTACGACTACCAAGAGGGTGACGGTCATACCAGCCCTACAGATATGATTTCTGTCATTTTATGTGTACTTGGTATACTTGCAAACAGCTTCGCTATTATTGCTATAATAAAGGCGTGTAGAAGACTAACAACACATCTAAAACTAGTAATAAGTTTATGCTGTTCAGATGCACTCATTCTTGTTTCAAATTTTACCAAAATAACAGTCAACCTCACAAAACATGGTACCGAATACGACGACAAACAAATTTGTTTCAATTTAGCAATGAGATTAACAATCGATCTAGCACTTCTTGCGACACTTTTCAATTTACTTGGAATTGCAATAGACCAATACCTAGCGATTTTAAAACCACTGTTTTACAAGAAAGAGATGACAAGGGTGAGAGGATTGATTGGCATTGCTGCCATCTGGGTTATAAGTGTATTAGCAATTGTTCTGGAAATAGTATCTGGCCTTGAAGATAAGAAGGAAACGGAATCGCTTTGCTCTGCAATTGCATTCGATGATATGAATGCAGAATTTGCTATTTATGTTTTTATTTTTGTTTGTCTCCTTGTCATTATCTTGATATACGCCAGAGTATACATTTGCGTCATCAGGCGTCGATTACCTCATAGGGGACGTCATCAACAAACCGGATCCAGAAGTGTTAAAACTCTCGTCACAACATCACTATTTGTGTTAACATTCGTGCTATTCTGGACTCCAATCGGCATATTTAACGTTTATACGTATTTTCAAAGTCAGACCGATATCATGAACAATTTTGGTAGTTATGCACAAACTGGAGAAATTTTATATGTTATTCTATTACTCAACACTATTTCAGATCCAATTATCTATGCTCTTCGTCTGCAAAAAGTAAGCAGACAATGTTTCTTGATTTCTGCTGAAGTGCGTCGTCTATCAACTATAACGGACCGATCATCTGTTAACCCATTTTGAACGCATACAACTATCCGTTATATTTTATTTCATAATGGAAAGAACTATCCTGTACGTTTAAGTTACCTTAAAATGACAAGAACTATCCTTTACATTTTATTTTAGAATGGCCAATGAGTTTCCCAGATTTCATTTTGTAATATTAAATAACCAATGAAAACTTTTTTCAAAGTCAGTAATTTTTTACAGGAGGTCAAACTGAAAACAGGCCGGAGAAAAGTTTTCTTTAAAGTATATTTATATCTTGTCGTCCAAAACCATGGGTATACAATCACGTATACAATACCTGTTACCTTGACAAATAGGTCGCGAATGTCCCTTACACTATAGTTATATCTTGTTTTTAGCTCGACTATTCAAAGCATAGTAGGGTGAGCTATTGTACTTACATCGTCGTCGGCGTTGCCATCATATTTGTTTGGTTAAGTTTTTACGTGCAAGTTGGTATCTCTAAAACTAAGGAAGGGAAGCCTAACATGTGATTATCCAACATGATGGGCACCGGTCCCACAACTCTGAGTTACCTTTTCATATCAAGGATTGGATGCTGGAATGTTAATGGTCTGACAAATAAGCTTACAGATAAGGAATTAATTAGAAGTATTGAAGGTTATGACATTCTCTGCTTACAACAGACAAAATGTGATAAAGAAAAGGGTATTTGCATTGATGATTATGTGACTCATGCTGTTTATAGACCAACAGAGAAAAATTATCCTGTGTCTGGAGGAATGTTATTTTTACTTAATCCTGGTATAATCGCAGGCATTTCAATATCTGAAAATACATGTAGTGAAATTCAATGGTTGAAACTATGTAAACATTATTTTTCATTGGAAAATGATCTTTATATTTGCTTTACTTATATGGCACCAGAACACTCTTCATATGTATTAAGACATAACTTAGACATTTTATCCATTATTGAAAAAGATATAAGCCATTACAGTAATTTAGGAGATATTATGCTTTTTGGGGATACAAATGCCAGAACAGGAGTTGAAAATGATTTGTTAGATGCTAAGTGTACACATTTGCCTGCCCTATTTTGAAGGGGAATACTGGGTCATTTCTGAAAAGAAAAAGCCAAGATAGTGTTTGTAATAGTAGAGGTAAGGAATTCATTGATTTATGCATATCTGCAAACTTAGTTATTTTAAATGGGCGGACTTTTGGAGATTTAGGTGGAAAGCCCACATGTTTTCAGTATAATGGAAATAGTGTAGTTGATTATTGTGTTGCTAGTGATGAGCTATTTGATAAAGTTTTGTATTTTCAAGTAGAGAACCATATTCCATTTTTAAGTGATCATGCTAAATTGAATGTAAAACTGTATGCAAAATTCAAAACTGTTAACATTGAAAGTACACTTTTAGATATGCCTACATCCTGGAAATGGACAGATACGTCTAGTTTAGATTTTAAAATAGCTCTTTCCTCTATTGAAATTAAACAGAAAATTGAGAGTTTTGACAGTGATCCTTTGCACAATGTTGATCAAATGGTAACTAATCTTAATGACATTTTGTATACTGCCTGTAACAAATCAATGAAGAAAAAGTTAAAAGTTAAGAAAACTAGACCGGTCCAGTCAAAAAAGAAATGGTTTGATAGTGACCTTAGTATGATGCGTAAAGAATTACTACGCAGAAGTTCACTGTATTCTAGAAACCCGTATGACAATATTTTAAAAGGATCATTCTATAAGTATAGAAAAATTTATAAACGTTGTTGTAAGCAAAAGATGAATACTTTTAAAAAGGGTATTATTTCTAGATTAGATAGTATGTTAGGTAATAATCCATCTGAATATTGGGAATTAGTTAAGGATCTTAAGGAGGAAGGCCTAGCAAATGATCCTGCTAATAAGATATCGGCAGACGGGTGGATAAATCATTTTACAAATCTTTTTTGTGTAAAGAAGGAGTTTGAACATATTGACAAGAAATATGCTGATTTACTACAAATTGTTGAAAAATGAAAACCTTCAATGAGCTAGACTTTGCAATTTCTGAAAAAGAAATATCCAAAGCCATTTCTTCATTGAAAAACAAAAAATCTGCTGGTCTTGACTCCATTACTAATGAAATGATTAAAGCTAGCCAAAGTTTTCTTTTGTCAAGTTTTAAAATATTGTTTAATTGTATACTTTCAAGCGGTGTTTATCCATCTTCATGGAAAGTTGGTTATATCAAAGCAATTCATAAAGGTGGTGATACTAATGACCCCAACTGCTATAGGGGTATATCTGTTATGCCATGTCTATCAAAGGTATTTAATTGTATAATGAATAATAGATTACAAAAATTTATAGATAATTGTATTATTAATGAAGCACAGATTGGGTTTCAACCCAATTCCAGAACATCTGATCACATGTTTGTAGTGAAAACATTGATAGATAAATTTTTCAGCAAGGGAGCTAAATAATATACATGTTTTGTTGATTTTGCAAAGGCATTTGATAATGTTATTCACTACCTTCTTTTGTATAAACTATGTAATACTGGTATATCTGGACCTTTTTTCAATGTTGTTAAAAACATGTATTGCTCAAATGTGATGTGCATAAAAGTTGGTAATAAGTTAACAGAAACATTCTCTCCCCAGATGGGGGTGCGTCAAGGGGACAATCTTAGCCCAAATCTTTTGAAGATGTTTATTAATGATTTACCAGCCGTATTTGATATTATTGATGACCAAGTGTGTCTAAATGATGTAAAAATTAGTTGTTTGTTGTATGCAGATGATTTGTTATTGTTGTCAACTACACCAAAAGGTTTACAGAATTGTTTGAATAAGTTATCAACATTTTGTGACAATAATGGTCTTATAGTGAATCTTAAAAAGACAAGTATTTTGACCTTTTGTAAAAGTGGAAGGCTTTCTAGTGAGAAATTCTACTTTAAAGGAACTGAAGTTAATCATGTTAAAAGTTATAAATATTTCGGAATTATTTTTGCATCATCTGGTACTTTCAGTTACTGCCAAGATGATCTTTATAAAAGAGCACTGAAAGCAAGTTTTAAGATTAGTAAGGTTTTTGGTCAGCTACACCAAAATGTTGACACTATCATCCATCTTTTTCATCATACTATTAAACCCATTCTTCTGTATGGTAGTGAGATTTGGGGTATACCAAATATTAGTAGTTCCATTGTTAAAAAAACAGATTATGTGTTAATGAAATCCTTTGGAAATATGTCCTGTGATAAGATGCATGTGAAATTTTTAAAATATATTCTGGGTGTACACAAAAAAACATCAAATGAGGCAGTATGCGGTGAACTAGGATGGTATCCACTATTTATTGATGTAATATTATGTAGTTATGTTAAGTTTTACCAAAGACTGCTAAGTGGAAATGTTAGCAAATTACTATCTGCTGCCTTTATTGAAAGTCAAACATTATTTACGGATAAAAAAGTTTGCTGGGTTTCTTGTGTACAACATTGTTTTAAGCATTTAGGTATATCTGATGCTGGTTTAACCAATAAGAACTTAGTAAATGTTGTTAAACTCAAGTTAGTGAAAATGTACCAAACCAACTGATGTTTGAATATCTCAGGTACTGAAGGGAAACTTAGAACATACTCTTTGTTTAAACAAAGGTTTTGTAGAGAAGTGTACTTTAGACATATTAAGGACAAAGATGTAAGAACTTTCTTCACCAAGTTTAGAGTAAGTGCACACAGATTGAATATAGAAACAGGCAGATATAAAAAGATCCCAGTAAATCAAAGGTATTGTAACTGTTGCTCTTCCAATCTTGTAGAAGATGAAATTCATTTTTCCATGTGTTGTACACAATTTGATAGTAATAGAGAACTACTATTTAGACAAATTGAAATATCAAATAAGAACTTTTATATGATGAATAATAAGCAGAAATTTGTTTGGTTAATGTCCTCGGAAGACCCTAGAATCTTGAATGTCTTTTCTAAATACCTACTCGAAATTTATAATAAAAGAAATCTTATGTTAGGTAGTACTATTAGTAATAAAGATTTGTCAGACCATTGAATGTATATTATTGTACTTGATTTATTTACTTCTTATTTTAACATTACTATGCCTGTGTTATTTGTTGTTTTTTTCCCAATAATACGAATTAAGCTTTAGTTACTTTATTGTCTTCATTTCTACCATACAATACACAATTTGTTGATTGATATATTTTGTTTCATGCCTTATGTTTTATGCTTGTGATTATATATGTCATATAATATGACCCTTGATTGGTGAAATAAAACTATTCTATTCTATTCTATTCTATCATGTCTATTGATTATCCAACATGATGGGCACCGGTCCAACAACTCTGAGTTACCTTTTCACATCATGTCTATTTCTTAATGCCAAGCATTGAGAAAAATCGAGTTCGATGTTTTACGGACAGCTCTTGTTATGAATGTGATGACTAATAGTTCTCTAATCTAGTAAAGTCAAACGTGTATTTAGCGACCGTGCAAGGGAAACGCCAAAAAATGGTCGCTTAACGAAAGCATGAAAAAAAGTCATTTATACATTACATCTTGTTTTCCAATGGGGAAGTTTTTCAACTTTATTTATATAATCTACTGTAAATAGATCCGGGGGATTTACAACGGTTGCATAAGACAAATTCGCTTAATACACATGGTCGCATGGCCAATTTAGACTGTATGTGCAAAAATTGAATCAAAAAGCATTTTATTGTCGAAATGAACTTTATTTTTCCCCAAATATAACACAAAAAACAAATATGTACAGTAAATTTAATAGTATTTACACTGCCCTTATTTATTTTGTTAATTGTTTGAAATTGCTTCTTTTTTACAAATATGAGATACCAACATATATTACAAAGCATGATCACTTAAAATAGAGAAAAACAGAATCCTTGCAGAGAGCTTAAAGTGATCAAACTGAAAATGTTGCAAGCTCGGTTTCATGGACTGTGGTGACAAGTGCAAAGCGTTCACTCACCCTAGCACCGACTTAAGCAGTATTGAACATTTGTACATGATTAATGTGATGGATTAATGTGATGAAAAAATTCATACATGAGAGATAATGTTACTTATGTCCGAAAAAAATGAATGTAGACAGAAAGACAACAGCAATATCTTCATGAAAGGACTGTAAAATTATTTATAATTACCGTTCAAACGCCTTGTTAATAGATTATCTACATCTGAAAAAAAACTCACAGGAAAAATATGCTGAAGTACAGATATGTGACAAGGGCATTGCAAAGGCGGGACACTATACGCCGTAATTTACATTTATGTGAGTGATCAAAAAATGTTTTATCTCAATTTTCCTTATGACACTAAATGACCTCCAATGTGGAGGCAATTTTTACTCTAGCTGCACGATTCGAGGTTTACTAGACAATGCTATATACCAGATATAGAGGTATAGTATTTATCAACAGAAAAATATGTGCTCTTATATTCCTTAGTCTACATAAGTGACTACCAGGGCAGGCCCAATTTTTTACCTGAAAGCCCAACCATGATTAATACAATTTTTTGTAGAAATTGTTGCTACTTGCCAGCTAATCTCTGGGCATTGCAGTTTCACACGATAAGACTGAATTAAGTTTTCCTAAATTAGTCTATATAAAATGTGTGACCCCGGGGATTGATCCAAGATGCATGATTTACATCAATTTTGTAATGGTTAAAAAGGCAATGCTACATGGCAAATATCTAAACTCTAGGCTTAAAAGTTTCACAAAATAAGACTGAAACGTATTTTCTCATACAATATTATATCAACTAAGTGACCCAAGAGGCGGGGCCAATATTAATCAAATGGGTGTGATAAATAACAGTTTTGTAGAGACCAACAAGACAATGCCACATGTCAAATATCAAAGCTCTAGGCATTGTAGTTTTAAAAATAATACTTAAATGTGTTTTCCTACACAGAACTACATTAACGATGTGATCCCCGGGACGGGCCCAATACTGACCAAGTGGGGCACGATTAAGACCAGTTTTTTTTTCTGGATCACAAAGTGTTATTTCATGCCTTATATCTTAGCTCTGAGCATCGTAGTTTCACACAATAAATCCAATGTGTTTTTTTCCCTATATAAGTCTATATACATGTTAATCAAATGGCCCTGGGCAGGGCCATTTTGGACAAAGGGGCATGATTTATATCAGTTTAGTAAAGGTCAATAAGGCAATGTTACATACAAAATGTCTAAACTCTGGACATTGAAGTTTCTGACATAAGTCTATATAAATCAAGTTATCCCCGGGGTGGGATAAATTTTGATATCAGGAAACCAAAACCTGTTTTATGCACATTGTCGCATTATGTAAGAATTATTTATGCCAAAAAGTTATAATTTCTTTCCATCTGTTCAAGAGTAACAGAGCGGACACTAAAAAATTTGAAATTCATACTAAATGGCTGTGACCTTGATCTTGACTTAAGGAATGTCATGGTGAACATTTCTGCCAACCACATTTTTAGTTTCAGCTTTCTTCAACCGGTTCAAACTATACAGACCGAAAACTGCTAACAAACGGACGGACGGACGACCAGGTGTATAACTATTTACATGTACGTCGATTATTTTCGGCCGTATAAAAACGTTGTTGATGACAAGTTACATAAGAATTTACATACAAATGTAATAACCATCGAGTACAGAGGTATGATACAATATGCGTATTGCCAGTTCATCCTTTCTTCTGTGAATTTACAGTTTCTTATTTCATTCATTAACACTCTTCTGAATATTTATCAAATTCTGTTTTTTTCCCTTTTTGATAGGTTTCTTGAGTTTGTATTAAATCTTACGAAAATCTTGAAGTTAATATTGTTGTAATTATCAGCATATAAGCTTCAATGTCAATTTTAGTGCAAAACTTTCTCATGTAGTTATAAAATTAAAATAATTTTAAAAGGAAATTATAGTCTTAAGCGCGAACCTTGAAATCACGTGTGTATTGTTTTCTTTTCTTACAGTTTGAATAAGAATATCTTATTTCGAACCTTCTCACCATGGCATGTAACGAAAACTTTATTTTGGTACGGAGAATAACAGATAGTTTTTGGGTACCGTATCCCGTCTTTGCTGTCATACACGATTCCTTTCTCGCTCAGATCCTCTTGAAATGCATACACGTTGCCTTCTTCCGAACCCATATCGCATACCAGTACAGAGTCTTCTGCTGTTACTATTCCTTCCGGAGAAATATGCCAACCGGTGTCCTGTGAGATTTGAATGATGTCATCTTTATCACCAGATAGTGCAAGTCTTGTTAAAGATCCACTGCCCCTATCAGATACGTACACATATTGTTTGTCTTCAGACACGGTCAAATGTCTAGGCTGGTTAAACAATTGGTGGCCATCAGCACTAGTATCTAGGGTATTAAGAACTTCCCCTTGAAGTGAAAGAACTTCTACTTTTGGAGGAGCGGTGAAGGAAACTATCAACTTGTCAGAAGTGCTAGTTATCCCGTAACAATTGCCATTTGCCTTCAAGCTGTGACTTGTCCTCCATCTGAATGGACCGAATCTTGTTACAATCTGAATCATACTGAGGAACGCGCAAGGTAATGTTACAGCAAGTAGATTATTGTTTACTACAGTCACGTCTTGTGGACTGAACGACATCTTCAAATATGAAGAAATTTTCTTTCGTTCGATGTCAACCATTTTGATACAATTGTTTTGGCTGTCAGCAATAACAAGTTCCTCATTTGAGAGCACGGATATGCCTGTGATATAGCAGGGGTTTCTATCGGACCTCGATTTAACACGTATGGTCCCAAGGAATTTAGACTCAGGTTCTTCTTCTTGACCATTGATCCCAACGGGACGAATGTCATCGTCAGTTGTTGCAGTCGAGTCAGTGGGAATGTCACTATCTGCGTTCTCAACAGACACGCACCCTTCATCAGCAACATGCATGATTCCAATTTCATTACACCCCAAAATATATTGAAACATGCCTTCGTCAGGTTCAAAGTGATAATGTCGAACGCTGTTGCATTTTTCATTCTGACTCAGTACTGCTTTTACTTTGATAATGTCGGGATTGCTTTTTCGCAGAGAAGAATTTCTGCTCGATTTTTTACTATCTTTTAATGTCTTTTTCTTCACCATTTGTATTTCTTCCCTAGCATCTTCACAATTATCGATAATGGTTTCCATTGTTTTCTTATCTTCTTCAAATAACTCCTTCGCTTCCTTTAAGGCATTATTTTCCAGGGAATCAATGTGGTCTTTCAGCATCTTGCACATACGCCTGATCTTTTCGACCTCTGAATCGTAATAGGACTCGACGTCTTCAAGATTCTTCTTTGCTTTTGTTATCTTGTCATTTGCTTTCGTCTCGAAACTGTCCATCTCTTTAATAATGTTACTCACGTATTCAGCATTTGCATTTTCGTTGTTATCCGGAACGCATTCAGAGTTGCAATTTTCAGGGTGTTCTACTTTACAAATATGGCAGCCAGGCTGAAAATGAAAACGACAATACCACGTGACATTCTCTTCCGGGTGATTTGGGCATTTCCCGGAGCAATCAGTCAAAGATTTGGACCTCATGAGCCCTCGGTACGCCTTCTCCTTTCCTAGAAGTTTGTGTTTTCGTAAAGTCTTCGCTTTGCGGTGATGCTTGAAACATTTATCGCAGAGAAATTCAGTACAACTTTCACAATATGCGTGCGCCTCCTTGCGGTCACCATGGGAATCACATGGGAAGCAATAGAAATGATAGTCTAGGCTGATTGACGTAGACGAACGTTGTGGCGAATGAAATAGACCGGAATCCCTCCTCCCCGACTTTTCTGAACTTCGGGTGGTCTGCCTACTATTTCTAATGAAAGACAACATCTTTTCTTGTAAATGAGCTGCAAGTAACAATAAAACATCGATGTACATACATAATATGTTACTGGCATTTTAAAAGAGAACTGACCAGTGCTGATATCATATGAGGGAACATGGTCATGATACGATTTAGGCTTGAACCTATGGTCTCTTGATTGATAGGCAGATACCTTAGTCAGGCTACCACTTCTCTCGAAAGTTGTGCAAATAAAGATTCAATTTTGCATCACGATAGATATAATTAAATAGAAATATATCTTAGTTATTGTCACTCATGTAAGTTTCATGACACTGGGTTTTCACCCCTTTTGCTTGTCAGATTCTGCTTAAGCAGTTTGATATAAAAGACATTGAAATCGTGTTTCTTTATGTGATTGCTTTCTGTCTTCGGAGTTCAGGTTCGAATCTGACCGTGACATATATATCGCGAACACCTATCGGCCAACAATCGAATATGGCCAAACACCAACAGTTTGAAATGAAAATAAATTTTATAGAAAGAATAAAAAGAACTTTATAGAATTTTAGTGACCAATCAGTCAGCCCGTAAAACTTTTAACACTCCGAGGCCGGAGGCGGTCCCAAACAGAAACGAATACAGTATTATAAAATTGTGTTCGTGGAAAAAATAATTAATTGTTGAATGGATGTAACCACATATTTTTGCACTTTGAAATATTGAAAGAAAGTCTAGTCATCTTTATTAACAGAATTTTTATAACGAAAATCTATTGCGTGAACAATGAACAATGCCAAATTTAAATTCAGACCAATCTAGTTGCTTATCCTTAACATGTAGCGTTCTTTAGGAACTGATTAAATCAGACCGAACATTTGACAAGAGCGTGAGACTTAACCATTTTAATAGTCAATACACATTGACTAACCAAAAAACGGAAGTAATATAATGTTTAAAATAACAAAGTATAAGAGAACAAATCGTTGTCTTCTATTCATGTTTTAGGTGTTTTTGTGCAGTCCATGTGATCATCGCTTGAATTAACTCTTTGTATGAGGCGTTGCAATCATTCGCGTGTTTAAAACGCAAATTTTTTTGTTAGATTTTTTGAAATAGATATGGGCTTGAAATAATGAATTGATGATTATCGCTCTTTAAAATAAGATAAATACACCCGACACGTTTGATGTGTAATTTAGCCACACTGCTTTAAAAAAATCGGACAAATTACAAATGTACTTAAATAGTGCATATACATGTACTTGTATAGTTATATAAGCATTTAAAAATTGGTCAATGCACATGTACTTGTATAATTATATTAGCATGTAAAGTGGAGCTTTATTGTTTCCTTACAGTAGTTTGGTCCTCTATGACAGATTAATTTTGAGTCGCTTTGCTTCGTAGGTTCGAATCCCGACATGGGCTTTTTTGTATGACGAAGACGAAGAATGGCGGAAAGTCGATGGTTCTACTCAAGACGCCCGCCCGTGCCTAGGGTAATGCACAAAGGGCACCTGAGGTCGTAACTTACTGGTAAAATTTGAAAGTCGCCTGACTTATTACCGTTACAGTGCCGGTGTTACTATGCAAAGTATTACCATGCATTTACTGTTTAAAGTTCCATTATTCCCCGGCAATGATATGATTTTGAATTTTGTTCCAAACATTTTCTCATTAGCCAATTGCCGGAACCATTTTTTTGCTTTTGATATAATATTTTGTGTGGAAGACAACATACTACTGTGTTTACAGTTTGGTGCTTTTATCAGCTTTCTTTAGATGATAACCATTTACCATTCCCTGACATTATTATTTAACGGTTAATTAACTTATGTTTTCCTTTGTATAGAAGGTAAAAAAAATTAATTTCTGAGGCATAATGTGCCTCTTACATTAATGACAAATCCGTTTAATGTCGGTTTTTATATATAAAAATGTAACTTTAAGTACATGTACATAGAAAAAGATAATACAAAATCTTATTATAAAGTTATAAATGAAATATTGAGAAATATTGAGAAATAAAACGCGTATTTTTCGTATTTTGCTGTAAAAAAAAAAATTTTTTCAACGCTGTGAAACATATATTTCCAGTATTTTCACTGTTGTCTTGCCGGCTGCTTTTTATCTAAACTCAGCCAATATGGGAAAACCTTATGGTATGAAAATTATCAGATTTCACTCGTGGCTACCGCCACTAATGAAATATTTACTTTCATACCATTCGATGAAAATAAATCCTGTATTTATGAAAAAAAACTTTAATAATTATCTTCTATGTATTTAAATATATTTATATAATATATGTATGCTTTACTTTGGTAGATTAATACAATTAGAAATTAATGATTTTTTTATCCTCTACATTCCCTAATGTTTATTGTCTTTTATTTGATTATTTTCTTCCTCTTGTTTGGATTACACACACGTACAAAATGCGACAACTATTTTATTTATTGCTTTCTGTTGAAAATAACCGTTCACATTCAAAATTTAAATGTTTGCTATTAAAACTGAATTATAAAATGTATTTGTTGAATGTAAAATTAAATTTGTGTATTTGTACTTGAAACTCTGTTTCTATTTTAAAATACTGTGGCAATGACTAATTAACATGCTAATGCTGAGCCTTCATTTTCTTTTATTAAATCTTTATTTATCTTTGATTTTATTCATTCTTATTATATTATCATTAATTGCCATACTATGTTTAACCTTTGATTGGAAAGTTCTATTTTTTGAATTCTACAAACGTAGCGTAAAGTCATGTTATAATTTAAACTGTTATGGTTTAAGCTCGTCAATGAATAAAAACATCTTTTTCATATAAATTGTTCTTATTTTAGATGTGTACGAATATAATGCATGTATTATATTCAATTATTTATTTAAATCATTAAATAAATTAGCATGCGCCTCGCGCGTTCACATAAAATTATTTTATTCAACGTGTCTCTTTCAATGATTTCCTATTACAATGTACATGTACTTTATTAAAAAAAAAACAACACCGAAACAAACAAAAAAATACTTCTATCTGAAAGGCACATTATGCCTTACAATGACTGAGTGATGAACATACCTGAAAGTTCATATCAGTGTTAAATGAATTAAGAAGACAATATGTGAAAGGAATAATATTTATCCGCAACCCAAATACCATTACATTCAGTAAAAATATAAATACCAGTATTAAAAATCATACTAAATCTATAAAATAATTTATGTATTTGTTAACGAGATTGTAAAAAATTCACAACGCTATATACGGTATAAGAAAAAAAAACATGCTTGTTAATGTCATCCGAATTTGTGACTTTAATAACAATGTTCATATAAAATTTCAATGTTCTGTGATATCATGTATACTAGGGGTAATATTATGTATCCTCGGACTTGGAAACTTCTCCCGCATTGTACTTGTTTATATTTATATCTGCTATCAATTTGCATGTCTCGCTGTTTATTATATCTTTATAAATGAAATATTGATGAAATAAAATGCGTATTTTCATTTTCCGTATTTTCACTGTAAAAATATATTTTTCACTACTGTGAAACATATTTTCCATATTTTTCACTGGTGTCTTGCTGGAATATTTTTTTTTTCTAAATTATTCCAGCACACAAAATTTAATGTCAAAAAAGAAAAAAATGTATATAGTAAACAGTAAACATAAAATTCTTTATTTTTCTTTAAATAAATGATTTATTTTCAACTTGTTGTATGAAAATTTTCATATTTCACTCATGGCTACCACCACTCATGAAATATTTATGTTCATACCACTCGATGATAATAAATCTTGTATTTATAAAAAGACCTTGACTATCCTCTTTGTATTTGTACTGAAACTTGCCTCATTATGTCATGTTTTAAGGGATACTCAGGCAAATAAATGACAAAAATATCAAAATGATTTAATGTACTCAAATCACGCTAAAATGATATTCTTCTAAAGTCCCAGCATGAAATTCTGTATAAATTCTATTTATTTTGGGTTTGAAGCGAAATTATATCTACATGTATTGAACGAAATTTATACGCCGACAGAATCACCGAATAGTTTTAAATCAAGCCATGTGGCTTGAACAAACCCTGGAACTTACAATAACCAATTTTGTGGATATTGAATGATTGAAACAAGTCTTAAGTCATTCATTTGATATGTCCTTTAACGTTTCCATAGTTCACTTTTGGAACTTATGTGATATTTTAACGCTCTAATCTGACCAACGCGGGTCAAGTTAGGAAACCAGCATTTTATTCTTTATAAGGAGACAAGTGTTGTTCCTAAGACTGCGTAGTTTTTCATTTTGAGGACATTTACAGAAAAGTGAATGAACGAAGAAATGAAAATGTTGTCTGTGTCTCCCTTTAACATGAAATGAATAAAAAAAATGAAGAACTGAAAAAGAATGAATTGAAAAACGAATCATTACTTCCCTAGTGCGAGCAAACATGATTTTTTTTCAACAATATAATAAATTTTGAGCCGCGTCATGACAAAACCAACATAATGGGTTTGCGACCAGCATGGATCCAGACCAGCCTGCACATCAGCGCAGTCTGATCAGAATCCATGCTGTTCGCTATCAGTTTCTCCAGTTGTTATAGGGTTTGTAAGCGAACAGCATGGATCCTGATCAGACTGTGCGGATGCGCAGGCTGGTCTGGATCCATGCTGGTCGCAAATCCATTATTTTGGTTTTGTCGAGACGCGGCTCTAATGGTTTTATAACATGATAGATG